TCGCACCTGGTATAACTACACCTGGGACTCCCAGGGCATGCTGGGTAAGAGATTAGTGTAAAGTAGAAAGACTCAAGTGACTAATTGGGTAATGATAGTAGCTTATACAGAAACTTACTGTATGTAGATAGCAAATTATCTGGATCATCTGCAAAAATCTTAAATGCCCCACAGATGAATCGGAGTTATTAGACAAGATGCCGCTGGTGATGAGAACAGCAATCGCTGTGGATATCAACCTCGCTACTTTCCAGAAGATTGACCTTTTCAAGGTATGACAGTCTTTCGGCTTAGTCCCTTATTAAACTCATATAAATGTGTTCAGCTAATGTTGAAGATCTCTACAGTGGAAGCTTATTTCTGATGCAGAAAAAAAAAATAGTTGTGGCATATTATATTGAAATTCTGACAGCTCAAAAACAAGATAACTCAATTTAGATATCATCTTTATCATCATTTTCATCTGCTTATCTGGGGTCAGGTCGCGGGGTCAGCAGTCTTAAGGCTGATTTATACTTCTGCGTCAAACGCCGGCGTATGCTTCGGTGCTGATGCATAGCCATTCGCCGTGGCCGTCGGCGTCGCTGACGTGCACCTCTCAAAAAATGTAACTACACATCGCAACGACACGTAGCGCAAGCTCTGTGATTGGTCGTCTTGGTAACGCTGACGAGTCTGGGGGGGACCGAGAGCCGCATGAATGGTGCAAGCCTGATGGAGCGATTGTTTACAAGTGTGGAGTCCCGTGAAGGAGCTCCGGATGGAAAGTTTTGTTTTGTGTTTACCTCATAGTTAAAGTTGTTGCACGCCCGCCGGTTCCTGCCTCAAAATGAGCGAGTTTGGGACACTTGTACATCCCGGAAGTGTTCAGGAAAAGCAAAACAGCAGCGAAGAAACTCGCCACAGAGGAACATTTACACCTCACTGCCAACTAGTGTTTCAGAAGTGTTAATGCAGACCAACAGAGACAGCGCGCAAAAGTATAAATGCACAGCTACGCGCGTTGCATGCGCCATGGGTTACGCCGGTCACCTGACGCAGAAGTATAAACCAGGCTTTAGGAGAGAACCCCAGACTTACCTCTCCCCAGATACTTCTTCCAGCTCCTCCCTGGGGGGATCCCGAGGCGTTCCCAGGCCATAGTCCCTCTAGCATGTCCTGGGTCTTCCCCGAGGCCTCCTCCCGGTGGGACATGCCTGGAACACCTCCTTAGGTAGGCGTCCAGGAGGCATCCGAAACAGATGCCCGAGCCACCTCAGCTGACTTTTCTCAATGTGGAGGAGCAACGGCTCTACTCTGAGCTCCTCCCGGGTGACAGATCTCCTCACCCTGTCTATAAGGGTGCACCCTGCCACCTTACGAAGGAAACTCATTTCAGCCGCTTCTATCGGAGATCTTGTCCTTTCGGTATTGACCAAAGCAGAAAGTAGATTGACCGGTAAATTGAGAGCTTTGCCTTTCGGCTCAGCTCCTTCTTTACCACAGTGGACGAGTACATCGGCCGCATCACTGCTGCTGATTCACTGATCCACCTGTCTATCTCACACTCCATCCTTCCCTCACTCGTGAACAAAACCCAGAGATACTTGAACTCCTCCACCTGGGGTAAGGACTTTCCTCCAACCTGGAGATGGCAAACCACCTTTTTCCGGTGGAGCACCATGGCCTCGGACTTGAAGGTGCTGATTCTCATCCTGATTCTCAATTTTGATATATAAAGGTATAAACTCTACATTTCAAGATGTGTACTCAGAATTCCAAAAGTTAAAATTCAAAGTTCTAAGATAAGGTAAATTTAAAATATCAAGATGTAAAATCAGAATTCAGAGAGCAGAAATGTGAAGTAAAAATGTAAACTCTAAAAAAAAATCTAAATTCCAATATTAAAACCCAGAAATCCAAATGAAAAAAGTGACAGTTACGATATAAAGAAAAATGTAGAGGGTACAATCTAAATTCTGAGATGTAAACTTTTGGGTGCAGCTGTCCGTTCCTCTTTTGTGTTTTATGAGCTCTAACATGTAGACTGTAAATCTCAAAGAAAAAAAGTCACAATTCTAAAACTTAAACTCTAAATTCTTAGAGTCAATTAAAGTCATTTTTCCAAGATGCAAGACATGGCCTGAGATGTCTGAGGAAATAAAAATATGTGAAATCTGAAACTCTAAACCCTTTTATTTTATTTTTCTAGGGTTGTGACAACCAGATGCTTGTGGACATGTTACTGCGTCTGAAATCCATTGTGTACCTACCTGGAGACTTTGTGTGCAAGAAGGTTAGAAACATCAGAAATAATCATGATAAAACAAAGATTCAAACAATTACCATGAGCAACTGTTCCATGGCTTCACACAGGGAGACATTGGGAGAGAAATGTACATCATCAAGGCTGGAGAAGTGCAGGTCATCGGTGGACCGGATAACAAGATTGTGTTTGTGACTCTGAAAGCAGGCTGTGTGTTCGGGGAGATCAGGTACTGGACAGAGAATCTCACATTTGTGAACAGTCATGTGAATTATACAACTGCTTATTTCCTTAATAAATCCATCCATCTGTCTCTTTCTTCTGAATAAATCCAGCCATCATCCATCCATCTTAATATATCCATCCATATTAACTACCATTCTCTCCATCTATCATCTGTCTATCTTTTTTCTTAATATGTCCATCCAGCATCCACTGTCTGTCTGTCTGTCTGTCTGTCTGTCTGTCTGTCTATCTATCTATCTACTTAATAAATTCATCCATCCATCCATTTTATCCATCCATCCATCCATCCATCCATCCATCCATCTATCTATCTATCTATCTATCTATCTATCTATCTATCTATCTATCTATCTATCTATCTATCTATCTATCTATCTATCTATCTATCTATCTATCTATCTATCTATCAACTACCAATAAAACCATCCATCCATCCATGTATACTTTTTCTTAATAAATCCATCCATCATCTATCGTTCAATCTATCGTTCAATCTATCTATCTATCCATCTACTTAATAAATTCATCCATACATCCATCTATTCATCTACTAAATAAATTCATCCATCCATCCATTTTATCCATCCATCCATCCATCCATCCATCTACTAAGTAAATTCATCCATCCATCCATCTATCTATCTATCTATCTATCTATCTATCTATCTATCTATCTATCTATCTATCTATCTATCTATCTATCTATCTATCTATCTATCTATCTATCTATCTATCTATCTATCTATCTATCAACTATCAATAAAACCATCCATCCATCCATGTATACTTTTTCTTAATAAATCCATCCATCATCTATCGTTCAATCTATCGTTCAATCTATCGTTCAATCTATCGTTCAATCTATCGTTCAATCAATCTATCTATCTATCTATCTATCTATCTATCTATCTATCTATCTATCTATCTATCTATCTATCTATCTATCTATCTATCTATCTATCTATCTCTTTTTTTAATAAATCCATCATCATCCACCTTTCTATCCATCTATCATTTTATCCATCTATCGTTCTATCCATCTATCTTTTTTTTTTCTATTTAACAATAATGTCAATGATAAATTGCCCACAAGCATGGCACTACAACAACAGAACTGTCTTTTTTTTTCAGTCTCTTACAGTCGGCAAAAGATGGCGGAAACAGAAGAACTGCAAACGTTGCTGCTCATGGATTTGCCAACCTCTTCGTGCTGGATAAGAAAGATCTCAATGACATCCTGATCCATTACCCAGAGTCTCAAAAAGTCCTGGCCAAGAAAGGACGGTGAGGTCAACTAGAACCATTCAAGAACTTATTTTATTGTGCTGAGTCTACAATAATGGCTGATTGATGCTCCTCAGGAAACTGATGAAGGCCAAAGGCAAAGCTGCTCCTACAAAGGATGAAGGAGAGAAGAAGAAGGGATTGGCTTTGTTTGGACCCAAACCTCCCACTCCCAAAATGTTGCGTGCTTTTGGAGGATTCGGGAAAGGAGGTTTGCTGGACAAGCTGAAGGTGTGTGTTGATCTGTTCAGGGGTTTAATGGTAAAGCAGGATGGGTCTGCCTGTGGATTGGCTGCAGGTTTGGACTGTGGAAACTTTGAACAAATTAAAACAGCAATGAAGAGATCTGAAGTAATGCCCTTTCTCTATCCTGCAGGCTCAAGCAGCGGAAAAAAAGAATTAAAGAGATCTATCAGTCCATTCATCTGCCAGTCCATCCATCCACCATTACATAATCCATCAATTGCTCTATCTATATATCCATACATCAATCCATCAATCCATCCATCTATCTATCTATCTATCTATCTATCTATCTATCTATCTATCTATCTATCTATCTATCTATCTATCTATCTATCTATCTATCTATCTATCTATCTATCTGTCTGTCTGTCTGTCTGTCTGTCTGTCTGTCTGTCTGTCTATCTATCTGTCTATCTGTCTATCTATCTATCTGTCTATCTATCTGTCTATCTATCTCTCTGTCTGTCTGTCTATGCTTTCATCCATCCATATCATCCATCAGTCCTTCACTTCATTTTATATACCATACATGACATCTTCCATCCATCCATCCGATCCATTTCATCCTCCGTCTACCCATCAACTACATTATTCACCCATAATACCCAGTAATTATGATATTTTTTTATCCTTCCATCTATGAATAACATTTATTTTTCCATCCTTTCATTTCATCCATCCATCCATCCATTACACCATCCATCAATGACATTCTTTTATCTATCTATCCATCATCTATCTATCTATCTATCTGACTCAGATCTACAGAAATGTGAATAAAACTGACTGAGAGAAACTTCAATTTGCACATTTTACCTTGTTTTCCATTTACATTAAGCTATTATATTCTAGCAGCATCTTGATGAATGAGTTTTCTGGCCTTTGTATGCTGTAAATATGTCAATGTTTTTCATAAAAATAAACATTCAGTACACACCATCTCGTTCTGTCATCATTACTCAATTAGTCTTCAATAATCAACGCTTTGTTTTGGTGATTTATTTACTGTATGGGGAACAAGGCATGCTACAGGCTGTACATCAGCAAAACAATGACGAGTTAAAGACATTACATTAATATGTAACCATGCCAACACAAAGATGTCTAATGAAAATAATAGAAAAATAGCTGCAATTTAAATGTAGTTGAGATCATCTATTATATTCCTCTTAGCCTATAACCAGTAAAATGGGCTGGTATGGTGACCAAATTAAATTTCTTTGTGCACCTCTGAACATTCAATACTGATTGAGTATTATGATTACTATTACCATATTCAGGCACAACTCAGGAACACTAACCAACCAGACGTCAGTATCTCTTATGGCTTTGATTTATACATACAAATTGACATCTGAGCAGCACCATTTCTTAGTGATCGCAGGTATATGTGGTCAAACATAAAAAAATTGGCATGTAAAAAGCTGCAAATTGATTCTCCATAAATTTAAATCAAACATATATAGGCACAGGTTTATATACAGAAAACGCTACTTAAACAATAAGGCACATCATTGCATAAATGTGACACGTCAATATAGCTTTATGAGGCACTGATTTAAAAAAAAATCATATTTATAGATATAAAAAATGGTCTACAGGAACGTGTTATGATACTGACAGTTTCTAAATCATGCTAACTGTAAACAATTTTGTAAAAAGGAATGAAACTCACCATAATTTTAAAATGCCTTCATACTATTCAATAGATCTCACCTGCAACATTAACATGATTTCCTTTCTATTCTTTTGTCTAGGGCAGCGGTGTCCAAACTCGGTCCTGGAGGGCGGGTGTCCTGCATATTTTAGTGCCAACCCCAATTAAACACACCTGAACTAGCTAATCAAGCTCTTTCTAGGTCTACTAGAAACTTCCAGGCCGGTGTGTTGAAGGATGTTGGAGCAAAAATATGCAGGACACCGGTTCTCCAGGATCGAGTTTGGACCCCCCTGATCTAGCGTGTCTTCTTTTAGTGGCTCTTAAGTCCAAACGAAATCCGTAATAGATCGTTCCATGGTCATTTGGCACATGAAATCATGTAAATAAATATATAATGCTCTAAAACCAAACCTAATTCGTCTAGTGGTCTACCTCTTTAAGAAAGCCTACACTTGTCGTCCAGTTGCATGCGGTATGAAGCAAGGAATTGGGCCGGTCAGTTTTTCACCCCATTTGAAGCATCCACTGGAGTGTTTGAGTTAGGAGGGGGATACTTCATCATGTTGAAGAAGGTAACGACCTGACCAGGAACCTCTGCCAGGACACATTTGGCAAGTTCCTCCTTTGGAGACTTTAAAGAGAGGAGAAAATGTCAGTTATTGTGTGTTTGGCTTTATGCAGTAGATTATGTTCAGGGACGGTGAGGGAAGTTAAGATACATGTTGTTTAGGAGACAATAGTGCAGACGACATGAAGCTTAAGCTGTTATTCAAAAATGATGCATGTATGAGCCAAAAATATTTTTAAATGAAATGTGTGAAATTTGATAGTGTCAGCATGCACAGTTTGATCAAGTCAGCAAGCACAACAGCCAATAAAACCACTGCATTTAAGACTATAATAATTATGTATGACTTGTTATCCAAATTTCAAATACTCAAATTACGGTATTGAGTAGTTTTTCTCAGGAATTGTAATTTTTAAAAGTTGTTTTAAAATGTGTACTTTTACTTTCCCTTGACTTTATTTTTAGTGCACAATTGGTACTTTCACACCACTACTTTCCTTCAACCTGCAGTCACTACTTTATTTCTTCATGTCTATGGGGATTAGAAAAATCAGTCCTGTGATTCCCGTCCAATCAAATCGCACATAGAAGGGAAATCACATCATAATGATCTACCTTAAGACATGGGGGATTTATCATTGCAGCAAATTGTTTGGAAGCATTAATAGTGTCCAAGAAGACGTCCAAAATCTTTACACCCACTGACCCAGAGACTGTTTAGATCAGGGGTCACCAATCCTGGTCCTGGAGGGCCGGTGTCCCTGCAGGGTTTAGCTCCATCTTGCCTCAACACACCTGTCTGGATGTTTCAAGTATACCTAGTAAGACCTTGATTAGCTTGTTCAGGTGTGTTTGATTAGGGTTGGAGCTAAAATCTGCAGGACACCGGCCCTCCAGGAACAAGTTTGGTGACCCCTGGTTTAGATGATGGATGTTTACTGTATGATGACCGAAATGGCCTTAAACACACAGCAGGTACAAGACATCAACATGACAACAGATTGACGTTGTACCCCAACGTCGTGGGGACGTTATACTGTTTGGAACAAAAAAAAAAAAAAAATCGGGTTGACGTCAGAACTTAACGTCAGGTCAACATCAATGTCCAACCTAAAATCAACCAAATATCAACATCTAATGATGTCACAGCTTGGCGTTGTGTGGACGTTACCACTATGACATTTTTCAGACGTTGAATTTTGGTTGTCACACCTGATGAATAAATGTCAGTATTTAACGTCAATATGGCTTTGATTTAAGATGTTGCCTCGATGCTGAATTTTGGTTACTTTCAAACACAACCTAAAATCAACCAAAGATCAATATCATTTGACGTCATTATTGGACATCAAAATAACGCTGTCCTTAGATGCTGGCTAGACATTGAATTTTGGTCACATGACGTCACGACCAAAATCTAACCTAGTATTAGCATCTTATGACGCCGTGTGCCTGCTGGGCAATAGCTAAATGCACTACAGAATGTTACGTTTACACACACATCCGCAAACTACATGTAAATGCATCAGCTTTTGCATCATACTCACTACTCTTGAGTACTTTTGAAAGGTCAAGGGTCAGGGTAAGGGTTTTTACTCATACTTTAAATAGTAATATTTACAACAGATACTTTTACTCTACTGCACTACATTTTTAGGCAAGTAATGGTACTTCTACTCAAGTATGACTTTTCAGTACTTTTTCCACCACTGGTCATTATACACATATACAAACATCAGGCACTCGATTTTAACAATCCAAGCACTAACCTAATCTATTTAAGAATCGAACAATTCACTTTTGCTATTTTAAGCAATGGAGAAATGGGCAATTTGCAAGGTGCATGGTCTAAAAGGGCTGTCCTTATTCTCTTAATGACGTAAGGGTGTGTTCTGGGTGTAACCTGCATTAAACCAATCAGATTCTCATCCTTTCATTCCATTCCTTTTTAGAGCGAGTTTCAGTCGTGCCATTGTGGATTCACTAATCACATGGTGGACTTTGTAAAAAACAGAATGCTTTAATATCGAGGAAATGGATCGGCAATTCTAATTTTGATCTCATTCTCTCTTTAAATAGGTAGTTGGGCTAATTTTGACACATGCAATAATTATCCATTATGACATGTAGGCAGTTTTCAAATTTATGTAAACAATAATAATCTTTTACATTTATTTTTTTCACATTTAAAGATGCTTGTGTGCTGCTGTGCATCCCTGTGTGTGTAATAAGTAATGTGTATGCATGTTGCTGACACCTATAGATGCTCATCACTAACATGCTCTTTAAAAAAACAAATAAAAAACTTCACTGTCTTTAGACCAGCTTTTAGTAGGTTGATGGTGTAGTCTTAACAAAAAGCAACATCCGATCTGACAGCAGAATGCATTGATAAGAGGTAAAACATATAGACATGAGCATGGCATTGGTCAGGTGCAGATAAAGAAGAGAGCCCTACATGTCTATGAATGTTTTGGCTCGTTCGGAGGTGACAGGTTTATATATCTGAAGTAGGTTGTGACTTGTTGGGGTAATTCTGCTAGTACACACTGGGCAAGCATTTCCCTGGGCGCCTGAAATGAAATGGACACAAAGGCACAGGTGAGAAGCTAGAAGCCATGGCATGCTGTATTAGGTATTCAACGCAAAAATTACCTGTCATCATTTACTTTTACTCAAGTTGTTCTCAACAGTATCCTGTCTGAAGTGGATCAACTAGCGGAAATACCCCATAATTTATTGGCCGAGTCTAGTAGCTAGGAATAATCAATATTTCGGCCAATAAAGCATCTAAAGTGAATAAACTGGCAGAATTATTAATTGACTGATATTGGTAACTACTGATGCAGTAATATGAGAATTTTGGCCAATACCTATAACCAAATATTTGGAGGAAAGTAACCGATATTTAGCCTAATAAAGCACCTAAAGTGGATCAACTAGCAGAAGTAACTCATAATTATTAATTGACCGATATTGGTAACAACAGATGCACTGATATGGAAATTTTGGCCAATACCTATAACCAAATACTTGGAAGAAGATAACCGATATTTAGGCCAATAAAGAATTTAAAGTGGATAAATTGGCAGAAATAACTCATAATTTGTAATTGACCGATATTGTTAACTACAGATGCACTGATATGGAAATTTTGGCCAATCCTGACAACCAAATATTTGGCAGAAGATATCCGATATTTAAGTCAAGGAAGCAACTCAAGTGGATCAACTGACAGAAATAACTTACAATTATTAATTGACTGATATTTGGTAACTACAGATGCACTGATATGGAAATTTTGGCTAATACAGATTAACAAATATATAGAGGAAGATAACCGATATTTAGGCCAATAAAGAAATTAAAGTGGATGAACTGGCAAAAATGACTTATAATTGTTAATTGACCAATATTGGTTACGACAGATTCACTTATATGGAAATTTTAAACAACACAGATAACCCAATATTTGGAGGAAGATAACCAATATTTAGGCCAATATAGCATCTGAAGTGGATCAACTGGCAGAAATAACTCATAATTATTAACTGACCGATATTGCTAACTACAGATGCACTGATATGGAAATGTTGGCCAATACTAATAACCAAATATTTGGCAGAAGATTTCCAATATTTAGGTTAATAAAGCAACTAAAGTGGATCAAGTGGCAGAAATAATTTTTAATTGTCAAAAGACTTATATTGGTAACTACAGAAGAACTGATATGAAAATTTTGGCCAATCCTAATAACCAAATATTTGGAAGAAGATAACTGATATTTCAGCCAATAAAGAATTTAAGTGGATCAAGTGGCAGAAATAACTTATATTCATTAATTGATCAATATTGGTAACTTCAGATGTACTAATAAAGAAAAGTTAGCCAATATTGATAACCAAATATTTAGAGGAAGATAACCAATATTAAAGACAATAAGCATCTAAAGTAAATCAAATCTGGCAGAAACAACCCATTAACTGACTGATATTGGAAACTTCGGATGCACTGATTTGGAATTTTTAGACAATTATAACCAAAGATTTGGAGAAAGATAACCAATACCTAGGAGAATAAAGCATCTAACAACCCATAATTATTAACTGATCGGTATTGACCAAACTACATAAGCATTAATAAAGATATTTTGCCCAATACCTGATAACCGATATTTAGGATAATGGCACAACTGAAAGGGATTGAACTGGAGAAATGACCCATAATTTAATTCTTGATGAACCAATACCAATAAAATAATAATTAAATTATTATATGATTATAATTTCAATTATAATGTTATAAAAACACTTGTTATCAGTATTTTCCAAAATAGTTTAGAACAACTTGAGGGTGAGTAAATGATCTTTTTTTCATTTTTGCGTATCTAAATGTAAAACTGAATTGTGTTCTGCTCTGCTCAAAGTATACTGGCAGAAAGAACCGAGTAGGGCTGGGAACTGTTTCCATTCACTTTTCTGCACAGTTGATTTCACTAAAGTATTTATATATCAGAATTATTCCGTCATGTTTTATCTGTTACTGCAAGTATTTAGTCTTGAGACCTTAGATTAGTTACCAAATAGCTGTTCATACAGTATCTTTCAGTTAAAAAATGATTTGTTAAAACTGATGAATAAACGGTCATGTCTAAACTACATATATTTTCAAAGACTTTCATGTTTTTTTTCAGTTGTTAATTGTTTTAGTTGAAAGTGTCTAATCATTTGGTAACTGAATAGTAATTTTTCTAAAATATGTCTTCATCAAAAGCCTGGAAATTTAATGTTTAGACTTAAACATTAGCTTTTAGATACGTTTATATCATATGTATAAAAAACTGGAGTATCACTGGTAATGAGAAAACCAATGCTCTAATTATTTCTCGGTCTTTCCTTTAAAATCCCATTCAAAGGGGTCCTATTATGCTTTTTCACTTTTTGCATGTGTCAGGGTGTAGTGTGTATGTTTGGCCATGCAAAAGATCAAAAATTTCAAAGTCCACTGTAAAGGGAGATATTTAGTTTAAAAAAATAATAATAATAATAATAAAAAAAATATATATATATATATATATATATATATATATATATATATATATATATATATATATATATATAAAGAACTACAACCAACAACTCGTCTGGACTACAAGTGATTTTTGTGGGGTTTATGATGTCTCAAATTGGACCAAATCCCCGCTATGCAAATTCCAATGGATGGGGGAGGGGCAAAACAACAAAGGGGCTGACCAATCATAATACACTTAGATTTTTTAGTTTTTGAACTAAATCAAGTGCCAGGCTGGGAAGAATGATATTGCACACTACTTGACAAAAGTCTTGTCGCCTATCCAAGTTTTAGGAACAACAAGTAATAACTTGACTTCTAGTTGATGTGATGTGACCAAGTTCTAGTAGATCCAGAAGTGACTTATATGAAAAGCAAAGGCCTCCAAATTATTTATTTAGGACAGTAAGGTCTGACTTTGCTGAGACAAAAGTCTGGTCACTAACAGAAATAATGTACAGTTTTAAATATAAAGTCATGCTGCAGTGGAAAAAAGAATTAATATTGTGTATGACTCCCATGAGCCAGGAGGACTGCATCCATACATCTCTGCAATGACTCAAATAACATATTAATAAAGTCATCTGGAATGGCAAAGAAAGCGTTCATCAAGATTCTTTGGATTCATCTTCAATGTCTCTTCCTTCTAACACAAGACATGCTCAATAATATTCATGTCTGGTGACTGGGCTGGCCAATCCTGAAGCACATTGACCTTCTTTGCTTTCAGGAACTTTGATGTGGAGGCTGAAGTATGAGAAGGAGCGCTATCCTGCTGAAGAATGTACGCTCTTCTGTGGTTTGTAATGTAATGGGCAGCACAAATGTCTTAATACCTCAGGCTGTAGATGTTGCCATCCACTCTGCAGATCTCTCGCACGCCCCCATACTGAATGTAACCCCAAACCATGGCTTTTCCTTCACCAAACTTGACTGATTCTATAGGAATCTTGGGTCCATGTGGGTTCCAATAGGTCTTCTGCAGTATTTGTGATGATTGGGATGCAGATGACTCATCAGAAAAATCTACCTTCTGCCATTTTTCGAAATGATCAACTAGAAGTCAAGCTATTATTTGTTTATGATCTATTATTAGATTTTTGTCAGGTGGTGTGGTAATGAAAATTATTTTGTATTTTGAAACACCAAGCATGAGAGCAAGTTCTAGTACATCCTTTTAACAGAACCGGGACATTGTAAAAGAGCATAATAGATACCCTTTGGAATAATATGCTCAATATACAGTAAATTGGCATTCAAAAATTTGGGGTCAGTTACATTTGTTTTTTGTATTATTTTTAATAAAATTTCTTTCTCACAAAAATCTATTATAAATGTTTTAAAGACCCCAAACTTTTCAAACTGTAGTATAAATCCAAATTAAAGACCTGAGAGAGACAGAGCCCAAAAAGAAAGTGCCAACGCCAAAGCAGGCTTAAAAAGTGCACAAAACTCCTCAAACTCACGTTCTGGAACTTTCTAAAGGGCACAAACTGCACGATGTCTCGTACGGCCGGTTCTCCAGTGACAGACTTCAATCGTCCGTCGTCTCCATCCAGAATCTCCATGTCTGTAAAATCAGCTTTTCCTACGCCGACGATGATGATGGACATGGGCAAGCGTGAGGCAGCAACTATGGCCCCACGCGTCTGATCCATATCAGTGATCACTCCGTCTGTTATGATCAGCAGGACGAAGTATTGCTGAAACAAAGAGAGGTGAAGTCAGAGACGCATCAAGCATGGGTGGATCATTGTGCGTTTGACCTCAATCTTACCGATGCCGTTTTCTGCTGTAACGCCTGCTGTGCAAAACGAGCCATATGGTTGATGATAGGAGCAAAGTTGGTAGGGCCGTAAAGTTTGACCTGAGGAAGGCACATCCTGTAGGCCTCAATCACACCTTCCACACCTATGGAAACATCAATGCAACTTTCTGTTATATTTATTCATGCTTTTACCTTAAGCGAGTAACATTTGCATTGAAAGTGTGCATGTTTTAATCAAACCTTTGACTGTTAATTATTATTACTGTTATCATTAATTTCTTGAGCAATAATACTGTAAATACATAATTTTTGTAAATTAATAATTTTGTTCACATTTTTTGTTGTGTACATACAAACACACCCACACACATGAACACACACACACACATATATTATATTGTATATATATATATATATATATATATATATATATATATATATATATATATATATATATATATATACAGTGCTCAGCATATATGAGTACATTTTGAAAATTAATATTTGTATCAATTTCTCAGCGAATATAGGTAATATATTTTGGTACATTTGAACAAAACAGATTTATTAAACAGATATATTTATATACTGTATTTTCCACACCATAAGGTGCACCGGATTATAAAATGAAGTCTCAATTACGGGGTCTATTTCTGTACTTAACCTATACATAAGGTGTACCGCATTATAAGGCGCATGCTAAAACATACAATCTACAAAAAAATGTAACGGAAGCTGTTCTTTCTTCAATAATCCCTTGTTCAAGTGGTCTTTTAACTGTGGCCCCCTCGCTTTGTTCTCGTGGAAACTCTGGTTCGTCTTCTTAACTTGGCGCAGTTGGGGCACCGGATTATCAGGTGCACGGCCGTTTTTGACAAAATTTTAAGGCTCTTATGTGCGCCTAACGGTGCAGAAAATACAGTAAAATGTAATTTTAGTCGCCGAACACATTTAAAAAAAGAAAGATAATGCATTTAAATTCAAGCAAATTATTGCAATATATATATATATATATATATATATATATATATATATATATATATATATATATATATATATACAAACCCCAATTCCAACAAAATTTAAAGTTTTTTTTTGTTTGTTTTTCTAAAAATTTTCCCTGTTCATTTTTTAGAATGTTAAATTTTATGTTATTTTAAGATATTTTTCTAACATTTAATATTGGATCTACCAATTTTAATTTATTTATGTAGTTTTTTGTTATAACAGCTCAAGTGTGACTAATCTAAGGTGTATAGACAAATATATTATTGTAAAGCATCCAATATAAAATATTAAGCTATAAAAATGTATTAGTATAATAAAAAACGTACTAGTATTAGTAATATTATACTGTTTTTATATATAATTTATTTTTAAGTATTTTATTTAAAAATTTATTTTCATACTTTTAAATATTTGTTTTTTAAAGTGTTGTTTTTCTTGACAAGCTGCTTAACATGTCTTTAAATAGCAATCTGTTTTATTGTTAATTGAGTTAATGAATGAGAGGTTAAGGGATGGGATTAACAATGGACAATACTTTACTGTTTACGTCACAATATTTAATTTGCACTATAATTTGCATTGGTCATACAAAAGAACAATTAAAAAGATTTAAATAAATAGGAACCTGCATTTAATTTGCTTTTGCATTTGCTGGGAATCAAACCCACAACCTTCTCGCTGTTAACACTATGATCCAATATTTGAGCTAAAACAACACTGTTAATACACATTATTTCTTGTCATATGTAGAAAGTGGGTGATGGTAGACCTGATAGAATTGTTGAAACAAACCTGCACAGAATGGATTTGTAGGATTGAAGTTGAGAGGAAACTCATGAGACACCTAGAAAAACAACAACAAAAAGAAAAAAAACATTAAACTGAGCATTCGGAGAGTTTAACGCAATAAAAACAGCAGATGCTGGTTTATTTACCTGCCATGAAGGTGGAATCTGAGCGCCAAATCCAAACGCCGGAAACATTTTATCACTACAGCATATAAAAGAAAGCATGAGTCATAAAATATTCAACTGTATGATAAAAAGACATGCTGATATACGGTATGATAATACAATATACCTAACACTAACATGCATGATTTCTTTTTACCATGGGCACTTCAAAATACCTTGAAAAATTACATATTACTTAAATCTTTGAAATGCCTTCCATTATTAAGATTTTCGCAGTGGTTAATCTAAAGATTTTTTACGCATATTTTTATTTAGTACTTGTTTACAATTAACAATAAATCTCCATTTGTGAACATTAGTAAAATAAACTTAACTATGAAAACCACTTGTAAAAGATTTATTAATGGGTGATGTTAATGTTTTAAGAGCTCGTTAAACATTTGTAACTTGAATTTAAGTTCAGTTAGGTATTTTAAACTAACATTAATATAATAGCGTAGGTTGATGTTTGTTAATGCAGCTATTGTATACTAATGAGGCCTTACTGTAAAATATAACATGTTTTACTTTAGACCTCGAACAATTTAAATACCAACTCTTAACACAAAATAAGCAATACACAATATATAAAATAAAGCCTTATATACTGAAGTTATTTTTGTTATTACAGTAGTTTATTTATTTATTTTATTTATGCTTTAATGACATGTCAGCAGCTTTGGATTTATTCATGGCAACACGTGTTTTAAGTAGGGATGAACCGATACCACCTTTTTTACAAACCAATATGAGTACGAGTATTTTAATTAGTGTACTTGCAGATACCGAGTACCGATTCCGATACTTCTTAGATTTGGTTTCAATGAAAGTGCAATTAATTTGAAAGGAGGTTTGATGTTTTGCCTGTAGCAAGGATGAACACAATAATTTTTAATAGAAGGCTATTCCAAGCCAAAAACATACACACATTGTTGACAACCCTGTAAATCAATAGACTCTGTCGATTACCATTTACATTATACTCGCGAGTCCCACCATAAATCTGCAGGTCAGGTAATCAAAAAGTTTAACTATAAGGTTGAGTCGTGGGTGGATAAGTTAGTTGGTTAAGCAGACTTTGACTACTTTCTCTAAAATATTAAGATGTTTTAAGCGATTTTATCTTAACATGCTGCAACAAATGCGCATACTTTCATCTTCGGTTTATTCTGCAGTATCGATTTGTTAATAATGCAAGGATTAAGGTATTAATATATAATACATTAATTGAAGTCAGGCAGGACAACAAATCACATCCACGTAGTAAAGTACTGTTGAGTGGTATCATTGCATGATATCGGCATTTTATGTACAATGCGAGTACGAGTATTTTAACCGAGTATCGACCCGACACTGGTATCATTGCATCCCTAGTTATAAATACAAGTATTTAAAATTCAGCAATAATATTTACCAATTAAAGCCATTGATAAAAATTCATATAAGATCTTTTAATTTGATTAAAGATACACTTCCCTTCAACTATTACCCAAATAAAAACATACACTAACATTATCTTAAAATATACATTCTATTAAAATAGAATTTATCAAAAAAATATTCATTCATTAGATACAAATAGATTTCATTTCACCAGTTAAAGTATCCCTTTTTTAAGCTAATGTGCATAAAATGTGCCGTTTCTTGTGATAAAAGCTTCAGAAATTAATAAAAGTGAAAAAATGTACTCATTGTGCTCATCTACCTGTCGTAGTCCTGAACCACAAGGCCGACTGACCAGATGGCTGACAGATATTCATTCACACCTTGAGGACTGATGTAATGTAAAGAATCTGGTGACCTGGGATCTCCATTAGACCCTGTGAAGTCTATGCCCACCTGGAGGAGATAAAAAATGTCAACCACATGGATATAACATAAAATCAAACATAAAAGAATATAATGAAACCACAATGAAAAATTCCATAAAACTATTTTTAAATACTCAAATTTATCAGGATTTTAATTTACACTTTCAGCAATTTATAAGAAGGAATACAGGAATACAGGAATCAGAGAGTGGATTTCAATACCTATTTTAAGATTTTTTCCATTCCTTATATGACCCCGAAACAACTTTAGGCTTCAACTGGTAACACTGGCGACATTTTAAGTTAAAATATATTTACTAAACACTGATTGCTGTAAGAAACTAATCCTAAATTAAAACCTTTTTCAAATACTGAATGAAAATGCCAATCCAGCAGGTGGCGCCAAACTCCAGAAATAAAGGTGTTGTCTTGGTTACTGCAGTAAACAAAGCAGATCTGTCAAATCTGGCGGGATTTTATCGATTTCATGAACTACACAGCACCTGCATAATAATCTGCATATTCGCAGATTAAATTCATGCAAACTTTAGCATAGAACTATACATTGTACAATCAAAAATTTTACAAAAATATACCTTTTAAAATAGCATTAAAGACCTTTTCAGTGCCTTAAATTTCTCTAAATGGGGGTATATGCACAGCTAGTGTTTTTCAGCCAATGATAAACTTCCGATGAAAGCTTAATTTGATTATTTTGATTTCATAATGTTTCCTTAACAGCATCAATGTTGTAATGTAATAACAATGCATTCAGTTAAATAGACTTGAGCATTCATTTAGTTGTTCAAGTGTAAATGAGATGCTAGCGCCGATCAGCAGGCAAACGCTGAAACTCCATGCAAAATACTGGGGTAAAATAAACTGTCATATTTTAAAAACATGGCAGGGGGAAATGGAATTTGATGCAGTGCTTCTTGTCTGGTCTGAGACCCACTTCATATCGTATATTTATCAGCAAGTAAAGATCACTGAATTTTAAAGAAATCAGACCTTAAGTGTCACAATTGTATAAGGGAAAAAAGTGCTGAGGATGGCTGGCTGAAATTAAGTCCATGTGCATATACCTCATTGATTGATCAACTTTAAAATATTCTATGGATGTGAGAAATAACTGCTGATGTGCTGTTGAATTATTACAATAAAAACCATCTTAGGTGGTGACGCAGTTACAACTTGAAGCAGTTGTGCATTATTTGTGAATAATTCAATGAGCAGGAGGCAATGATTCTGCTTATTATAGGGTTAACACACCTAAAAAAAACTTCAGATGTTATATTTCAAGACTTTTGGCATGTTTTAGTCCTCAAACAGCTCTTGTGTGTAGTATTAATTTATTACACATCCCATTAAAAGCTTACTGTCTTGATTTTTTTGACTGTTGTCGCTGCAAAATAACTTATTTCAAAAAGTATCTGCACTCCATTCGCATACAAATATTCTATCTCTTTATTCTACATTCCTTAGGAAACAAAACCACAAATGTTTCGGCTCAATGCCTTCCTCAGTGTGAGGCATTAAGTCAAAGGGTTTGGGATTTTGTTTCCTATGGAATGTAAATTAAAAAGGTAAAAAAAAAAAAACATAATATCTGCTTGAGTGTGAATCACTACTTCTTGAAAAAAAAAAATCTAAAATATCAATGTACCAGGCAAAGAACTAGGGCTGCACAATATTGGAAAATTCGAGCATTGAGATTCTTTGTTATTCTGCGATATATATTGCGATAATACAGTTTCACCAGATGACTTGAAAAAAATGTTTGTTTTAGATTGGTTTGAATGATTTTGTAGGGGAGTGAATCCTGCATAAAATATAATAAACATTCTACGAGCATAAATAAATAGAGAGAGAGAAATATAAATACAATACAGAAAAAGATACAAATAAAATAAAGTTTTATTGGTACAGTAATTGAATAATCAAATATAAAAAATACTGCATAGTCTTTGTTGTATAAATATTTTAAAACAGTTTAATTCAAACCGTTGTTAACCCTTCTACGTGTATGATCACACTGGTGTGATCAGCCTTGGCTGGTCCCTGAAGCATACGATCACACCAGTGTGATTGGAAAGTTCAGAGCACATGTCATTAACTGCTAAAATTCAAATCTGATGGCGTGCGCTTAGGTACAGAAAGAGGTGCGCAGCACTTTTCATAAATCACAATTTATTTAATACGTGCTTCCAAACAAACAACATTTATCACCCATTACCCGTCATCTTACAAATAAATCTATCATTATACTTACAGAAAAGGACAAAAAAAACTAAATATGATTTATACATACATGGTGGGTCACGAGATAAACCTGATGCATCAACATAGAAACTTTAGAATGCAATGAAGTCTAAGTAATGGTAACAAAAAAATCACGAAGGAGGGTCAGATGGAGTATTTGAAAGTCATGCGTGAAAGGGTTAAAGTTACAAACAATACGATTTCTTATGCCTGAATGCTTTTAAAATCCTGAATGCTTAAAAAAACTGTCACAGGCCTCAAAAGCATATATCGTTATCCAGACTTAACATTGCATATTCTGTGATGTGACTATTGCGAACGATCAAACTGCGATATCTAAGCAGAAACGTTTTATTATGCAGCCCTACAAAGAACCATACTATTGAACTGTGAAATAGCTGAAATCATTAAGCGTAGTGATATGGAACTGTAATTTAGCCGTGCGATTATCTGAAAACAACTGCACGCCTTACAATTTCTATTAGCCAATCAGAATCAAGCATTCAACAATCTTGTAATATAAACATAAATAGTATACATTACATAGAACACTAAACGAATGTAGAACTTACAGTGAAATTTATCTGGCAGCCTCCCATGATGTAGTCTAGAAAGGTGTACTCCCTAGTAATCTGAAATAGCAAGCACAAACACATCTTTAAGTGTTCAACATTGGGTTTGTTGTAGAATGTTACAACCTCAATCAAACCAGTGTGTTTACATGACACAATACCTGACAAACTTTCACACTCACGACTCCAGAGTTCTTATAACTCTTCTTCTTCTGTTTCTTCTTGCTGTTTATACACTCAAACTCCGCCTGTAGGACGCAGATTGGGTTTGTTTTCACATTTCAGACATTCAAAATGCACTGATGTCAAATGTGTGTCAATGAGAAGCTCACCGGAGCCGAGCGAGAAGCCGCTTCAAGACGCTTCATGTTGGTCTCAAAAATCCCAATCAAATCATGAGATCCATCGTTGTCGTAATCATGACACTCCACCTAAAGTCAGACCATAAAATAGAGTATGAAGTGATCTGAGGTTTTGAATGACGGAGGGTTTCAGACAATAGGGATGGGCGATATCTTATGGTTTTTAGGATTTATTGATAAAATCCGCCCTATGTTTTTAGGGCTATGCAAATATATATAACTAGACATGTATTGAATCAGACATGTGCATGCTAAAATATACAAATTGTAATGGTTTGAAATAAATGAGAGCTTTAATATAAAAGTAACATATATTAAAGAGAGTTATCCCAAAAATGAACATTTCCTCACCATTTGTTCACACTTGTGGTTGTAAACTTGAATGAACTTCTAAGAGTAGACCACTCTATGTTTTCAGGTTGATAAAGCTTTTCCAGTGGAGCAAAGTGATGGTAATATTTCATTTAGCATTTGTTTTGTACACTTCCTTCCAATTTATGCTTTGTTTTATACTGCAATAAATCATGGCTGTTCAATTTCAGAAGTTGTAGCCAGTGTTGGGGTAAGTTGCTTCAGAAAGTAAAACTTTACAATATTGAGCTACTCCCCCAAAAAAGCAACTAGTTGTGTTACTTTTTATAATAAGTTAACTTTTATAATAACTTTTGCGTTACTTTTTCTGATCTGAGTGAGGCTTGATCTCTTTCAAAACTTGCAGTTTTTTTTTGCTGCAATTAACAACGCACTGTATAACCCTCCTTTGCCTTTAAAAAGCACATACAAAATGTAGGATATACATGATGTAAAGTGCATCCGAAAAGTATTCATACAGCTTCACTTTTTCCACATTTTTTATGTATCAGCCTTCTTCCAAAATGGATTAAATTAATTTATTTCCTCAAAACTCTACACACATTACCTCATAATGACAATGTGAAAAAAAGATTTTTCGAAATTGTTGCAAATTTATTAAAAATAAAATACCTAAAATATAACATGTACACAAGTATTAACAGCATTTGCTTAATACTTATAATAATATGATGCCACAAGCTTGACACACCTGTCTTTGGGAATTTTTGCCCATTCCTCTTTGCAGTACCTCTCAAGCTCTATCGGGTTTGATGGGAAGCGACAGTGTACAGCCATATTCAGATCTTTCCAGAGATGTTCAATAGGAGTTAGGTCTGGGCTCTGGCTGGGCCACTTAATGACAATCACAGAGTTGTTGTGAAGCCACTCCATTGATATGTTGGTGCTTTAGGTCATTTTCCTGCTAAAGAAAATGAATCGTTGCCCCAGTCTGAGATCAAGAGTACTCTGTAGCAGGTTTTCATTCAGGATGTCTCTGTACATTGCTGCATTCATCCTTCCCTCAATCCTGACTTTTCCACAAACATCCCCACAGCATGATGCTGCCACCACCATGCTTCACTGTAGGGATGGTATTAGCCTGTTGATGAGTGGTGCCTGATTTTCTCCAAGCATAACACTTGGCGTTCACTCCAATGAGTTCAATTTTAGTGTCTTCAAAGACTAGAGAATTTGGTTTCTTACGGTCTGAGAGTCCTTCAGATGCCTTTTGGTAAATTTCAGGCAGGGAGTGGCTAACATCTGGCCACTCTACCATACTGGCCTGATAGGTGGATTGCTGCACAGATGGTTGTCCTTCTGTAAGGTTCTCCTTTCTCCACAGAAGAACGCTGGAGCTCAGACAGAGTGACCATGGGGTTATTGATCACCTCCCTGACTAAGGCCCTTCTCCCCCAATCACTTAGCTTAGATGGCAGGCCAGGAAGAGTCCTGGTGGTTCCAAACATCTTTTACTTATGGATGATGGAGGCCACTGTGCTCATTGGAACTTTCAGGGCAGCAGAAATTTTTCTGTAACCTTCCCCAGCCTTGTGCCTCGAGACAATATTGTTACAATATCTACAGACAATTCATTTGTCCTCATGCTTGGTTTGTGCTTCGACATGCACTGTCAATCCTGGGACCTTATATAGACAGGCATATGTCTTTTCAAATCATGTCCAACTGTCAACATTAACTGAATTTACCACAGGTGAACTCTAGTTACGCTGCTGAAACATCTCAAGAATGATCAGTGGAAACAGAATGTTCCTGAGCTCAATTTAGAGCTTCAAGGCAAAGGCTGTGAATACTTCTGTACATGTGATATTTCAGGTTTTTTATTTTTAAAAAATTTGCAACAATTTCAAAAAATCCTTTTTCACATTGTCATTATGGGGTATTGTGTGTAGAATTTTGAGGATATAAATTCATTTAATCCATTTAGGAATAAGGCTGTAACATGAAAAAACATTGAAAAAGTGAAGCGCTATGAACACTTTCCGGATGCACTGTATATACAGATAAATGAAAGTTTAAAGCAGTGCTTTTGCCATTTTGAACTTTTCGTCTTAATAAAAAGTAAAATCACAATCCATTCAGTTAATTTGCTCAAAATAATGAGATATGTCAATCCAAAAATTAAGGCTCTGCCATCTTCCTTTTTGTCTGTTCCTGCATTCTCTCATTGCATGCGGGATTCAACGCAACTACGTTCATTTTAGTTTAGCAATTAAAAAATAAATTAACTAAACTAAAAAGTAACTTGGATTCTATATTTTTAAAAACGTACCTCAAATATTATTACTTATTTTTTTATTACTCATTACTTACTCATTACTAAAGTAATTTATTACGTAACTTTCATCACTTGTAATGCGTTACCCCCAACACTGGATGTAGCAATGCTTTCTTTTCACTGAAATAATATAAAAACATAAGTTGATCATTATAACATCTTTTATACAACTGTATTACACAATGAATATCACAATTTCAAGCATGCTATGTCATTTTTTTTTCAATATCTATTTTATAGTAATGATTAAATTGATTATAGTGATAAGCACTGCATTACAAATATACTTTATTCTTATGAAAATACCTATTAGGAGATCTTGGAAAACAACAACTGTGTGTTATTTTTATTCTTATGTTCCAGTGTTTCTACATTCTTTTTATGCTTGTCTTTACTACTGTGATGCACATGTGGAGTTTATGCTCTTACAGTATGAATGAAACTTTTTATAAAAATAAAAAAAAAAAATTAATTTAATATTACGTCGTGTGCTCTCAACTCCCTATTTTTAGTGACAAGAATCAATTTTTAAACAATTAGAAAAAGACAATACATATGGATTATCGCATAATAAACTAATATTGGGATATAGTCCATCCCTACCCCAAGAGAGCCAGAGAGAGAGAGGTCATGCAAAAAAAGAAAAAAGCCCATCAGATGAAGAACCATAGATGAGAACAGATCTACAGTTGCTTTAATTTTAAAGCCAGTAAGACACCAAAAAAGCACAGCAAGCAGGCTAACTCTATAATGAATGCATGGATTCTAGATGTTAAGGGTGACCTGCCATCTCCACTGTCCACAGTTTATTAGGTTAGAGATAATGAAGAAACCTGTAGCATCTGTGTTTTCTCTGAATCTTTTACCAGAACAGCGAGTCTTTCTGAGGAAACAGGGTCACTTATAATATTACTGAAATGCAGAAATGAACAATATTACCAAGTCAGTTATTATTTATCATTACAGTTGAATGATTAATGAATATAATAGTGGTAGCCAAAATGATTTGACTATAAATACTGACCTCTTTTAGCAGTTTAAGATGATTTAATTTTCACAATTTTTATGAGACATGTATATGGTTGCTCTGAGCACATCAGACAAAGTGAGTCCAACTGTTTTTATTGTTTTTTAAAACAGTAAAACTCCTATTGCAGCTTTAAGAGCAGCACAAAGTGTGTATTTCTACTTCAGTTTCATTTCAACGCTGTTATTTCATGCCATCTAAAACTCAATTATTTGAAAGATCATTATTGTGCGACACTGCCAATTAAATATGCTTAGCATTTTCCTTAAGAAAAATGGCGTAAATCTCCTTATGTGTGAATTATAGTGGGATAGTATATACGGATATAGTTGCACACTGCTTTTATGGCTCTATGATATGTTTTATAAAGAGCATAATAAAGACTTGTATGACTAATCTTTATTTTGTTGAATGGGTAATGTAATCAATTTAATAAAAACAATTGAAACATCTTACATTCGAAAACGACCTTCCATGCAGTGTGTAACACAGCTCGAGTGAATGAAAACATCCAGTTGAGGTTTAAATCTAAAAGTGCATCCGTGTGTAAAACATATGCTGGATAAGTTGGCGGTTCATTCTGCTGTGGCGCCCCCTGAACACTAAAGAGACTAAGCCGAAGGAAATGATAATATAGTAATAGATAAATAAAAAGTGATTCTATTGAAATATTACAGTATTCTGCTTTTTTTTTTACAGTTTTCTTTTATATATTTCTAGAAAATGTCCTTCATCTATTATGAAAGCTAACTATTACCATATTAAAGAGTCACGAAACATCAAAACACATTTTTGGAGCTGTTGACAGTCATATATGTGTCCCACACTGCTAAAAACACTATTAGGACACATTTATTTCACAAAAAGGTGAAAATTGGTTGTTTTTGCGTTATTTCGAGCAAATTCGTTCTTCCGGTTGAAAACAAATTTTTGAAGCTGCATCACGCAGATTAGATCCTTGTGTGTATTCCAGCGTGTAGACTGGCTGTCTGTACCTGGGAGTACTTTGTGACGTCTCTGAGTTTGCTGCATTCATTCATGAGTAAGAGTTGGTTCAAACCAATCAACGCGCTCTATTGTGCATGCGGTGCAACTTCATTAATATGCATGATAGCTTCGAAGACTGTTTGTACCTGTATAGTTTTCAGACGGCAGAGAGACGCCACGTTGTGTTGCCAAAACAAGTGAGAGAAGAATAATTGGTTGCAGATACAGGTTGTCAGTGTTGCTTTTATAATTTGCTGCATTAAAGGTTTGGTTTTCATTTTCCCGCTATGAGAGCGTAGCTGGACTCACATGTGGATTACAGTGCACGCAACGCTTGACAAAAATTATGTCTAAGGAACATTTTTTACCCGAGAGCTTTTTCGCATCAGAAAATGGCTAAATCCAGATTTGCCGCTCATCTCCTTTAATAAAGACGAGGTTCCAGTTGGTGTTGATTGTCCTGTCTCTACAGATTTGGTAAGTGAGCGATCAGTGGTCTTTGTTTGTTTATTTAGAGGCAAATGAGATATATATATATACTTTTTTCAACCCATTATTTCACCTTCATCCATTACTTTATTTTTCCATAAGTGTATGGTTTCTTGAATGTCCATCTTTAACCTTTAAAATTAAAATCTGAAAATGTTTAAAATGTGCAGATATGCGTGAAACTGTTTCCTGAGAGCGACTCTAGTAGTTAAAGAGTAAAGACATGAACACTGTGACCTCATTATTATGACCATAATAATGACCTTCATCAGGAAACAACAGTTTGACAGAAAAGCTCTCGTCTACTGATCTATGGATCACACCAGACGCTATTCAATGACACACACATTAATGCATGAAACAGAAGTTCTAACAAACGCAAATACCTGGTGGCGTCCTGACAGTGAGTTTCCCTTTAAGATGCTTTTGCGAGAGAAATCACAAAGTCATGAACACTGATTGTAAGCCACCAAAAAAGCCAAGCAAAGCTAGAGTTTCAAAGCCTCTAAGCTAGCAATTGTGTTAGCAACAGGGATCCTTTTAACATTGGAAAATACCTTTCATAGCAAGTAACAAACACAGCGTCTACCTTGATTGGTTTCTCCATGTCGCCTGCACAGAGAGAGCGTAGAGGAATTTTAAAAGGCCTCCAGCAAGGATTCAAATTATTCTTCACCACCTGAATAAAAGATAAGAGTTCACTGTAAACAAAACAATATAAGGCAATATTCAAGCCGTACCCATAACATTTGAATGGGTTATAAAAAATAGTGACTGATAAAAAAAGTCCATCTAAAAATATGTATGTGGAAAATTTCCTTCACCTAAAATGAAAGATAACTATTAACATAGTAAGTACACTAATGCTTTTCAGATCTATCATTTCCTGTAGTGTAACATTTAATATGTATATGTATGGTATGTATATAGGTTTGGGTAACACTTTACTTGAAGGGGTGTTCATAGGACATTGTTATGACTACTTGACATAAATTAATACATTACAACCTGTCTTCATCTTTGCTATGACAACACAAGCAAGATAACTTGTCATAAATCTGTCATAAACATGATTGCCATGATAATTGTGTCATGAATAATTTTCTGGTCACCTTTTCAGTGGAACAAACTGTATATGTCATTAAATTGTCACATTAAAAGTGTCATTACTCTGTCAAATCATTTTTAACAGCGTCATTAATATTTAATGACATTTTAATAAAAAATTCAGCTTGTACACTGTAGTTGAGGTCAAAAAACATTAATAATGATGTTATAAGATTCATGACGTTTATAATGGCTTCATGACAGTCATGTTTATGACAGATTTATGACAAGTTTTGTTGTCTTGGTAGTATCAAGTTGTCATGACAAAGACAAAAACAGGTTGTTTATTAATTGAATGGTTTGTAACAAATTTGCATAATGCCAGTCTATGCTCTTTTTGTGTTGTCAGTGAACAACTGTAAGTGCTGGACCATTCACAACAGACTGAGCCATGATCTGACCAATCAGAGCAGAGATTACACTCGGAAAGGCGGGGTTTATATAGACTGGATTCTTGAACCATCCAATTTAGACAAAAGAAGAAAAGTGCTTATTCAGCAATGTACATTTTGATAAAATTAAGCTACATAGTGACTTTGGACCAGGGGTGTCCAGACCTTTTTCTTATAAGGGGCCAAAAACCAAACTTGATTGATTGCTAGAGGGCCGAAGGTAAATATAGTTGCCATGGGTAAATTCATAATTTATTTAATAATGTTTAAAAATGACTAGAAAACATTTATTTACATTAACTAATCAAGTATTTGTTACATTTTATGATGAACTTTTTACAGTAAGAACAAAATCTCATTATTAACAGAATTACACTAGTTTTTGCCCTGATTTCCTTCGGTGTAGTCCTCTCTCCGTCATGTGATAGTATGTACATTTTAAAAAATCTATTCATTTACAACATTTAATTAAAACATTTAATTTCAGTTTGCCTTTTTTGTATAAAACAAAAAATGATGTGTCAAATTAGAAATGATAATCTCTATGTTGAAGACATTCACCCCAACCCTCTCCATCATTCTCACTCTCCTCTCAGATGGGGTGGTGAGTCAAATCAAAGGTTACAACAGGGCCATCGTTGGCCCGCAGGGCCTACTTTGGGCACCTCTACTATTGACGGATGTAAATCTAGTGTAGGAGACCTCAAACCTAAAATAGTCTCAGTTTTCACTTAAAAATGACTTTTGCTGCTTGTTCAAACTACTTATTTAAAATGAGTTGAAACAACACAATTCTTAAGTATTTTTAGAGGATGACTTAATAGTGTTATGTTTACAATCAACTTAAATTTGTAAAAACGATTAAATTAACATTATTGGTTTGTGTTGGGACAACAAGAAGGAATTGTGAGGCATCTTTTACATTGCAGAACATACTTTACAAACACAACACACAATGCACCTCAGTTCTGTGAGCAAGCTGCCAGCCTGTTTCCGTCTGCCTGTAAAATTCGAGGAATGGGTCTGATTTTCCAAAGAAATCCTGCAACAACAAGGCTTAAATTTAGACACTGAAAGCATTTAACAGTTTAATAGTAAATCAAATCCACAATCTCACATCTTGTGTCTTACCTTATTGTCCAGTTTTCTGGCCTCCACTTCAAAGTTTACAACTCTGTTGTCCTTGATTTCCTCTGCACTAATCTGTGATTTAAAAAAAAGAAAAATTTGTATTATTATTATTATTATTATTATTGTCAATAAAGAGTACACTTTTTTTAGCAGAAAGTCCTTTGGGAGTATACATTTTTCTCATTGGGAAATTAAAACAATTTGTTAAAGCATCACAAGTCATGATCTAATCCAACCAGCATTTTACTCACCGATTTTACTCAGCATTTTACTGACTGATTGGTTGACAGACATTCTAACTGTAATCAATAAATAATTACCAGGTTTGTTGACCCTCATACTTTTCAACATAATAATTTTTTTATTGAGCTTGAATGCAATAAATATATCAAAGCATACAGATAAATGACAAAAAATATTAGCAAAAATTGTACAATAATACAATATTATTTTATTTAGTTTTAACTGGATTCTTTTGAAAATAATGGGAGCCTTGGGAAGAGTTTCTTTCAAAGCATTAAAAACTCTTACAGACCCCAAAAATTTTAATGGTTGTGTTTGTGTATATGTGATGACAGAATAACTGCCATAAGTTTATATTCTGCCATTAGGGACAGTTCACCTAAACATGTCTATTTATTTACTATTTACTAGAGTTGGATGTAACGCGTTCCACAGTAACGCAATACTGTATTCTAATTACATTTTTGGAGAACGCAGTAATGTAAGAATTACATTTTAAATGTGTATAATTTGATTACACTTACTAAAGATAGTGCACTGGTGTTACTAACGTTACAAATATAGATTTTGGAAAACAACATTTGCATTTTTCTAAAACACGTTTTCAGCTGCAACATCAGTTAATGAGCATTCACTTTTAAACTGCTGGAGGACGTAAGCTGAAATGGTTGCTGATGAGATTGGTTGCTTCTTCAAGTGGAAGAAATCACACATTACTTTGATTTCATTGAGCGTAAAAACAAACGTATTGCTGTGAACTGCACTCTATGTCCAGAACAGAACAGAAAGCATTCTTTCCGAGGAGGACACTGACGCCCAAAAACACAGCAGCCCAACTTAGGCAAAACAGGCTAAATTGGATTTTTGTGCAGCACCGGGAGTGAAAGTAACTTTTGAAAATCTGAAGAGAAGCGTAGCTGCCTACAGGGCTATTAACATATTGCATCTTTTCAGCATTGCTCCCAGTGTGCTGCGTGTGCCTCCATTGGAAATAACGAAGTTGTACGCGCAGCATATTTGAGCGATGCACACGTGGCGCGATCACATATTCAACATTTGAGCATTTACTGTTTGTCTCCACAAACACAGACATATAGGCTGTGTTTTGCTGCTATAAATGTCAATGGTTACAGCTCTCTGGATTTCTTCAAAATGTTTTCTGCATTCAAAAAAAAAAAAAAAGAGAAGACAAACAGGTTTGAAACAAGTGAAGATTAAGTAAATGATCAGAGAATTTCTCTTTAAATGTTTTGAATTTGTCAAGCTGCAGTGTTAAACCTATTGCAATGTTTTTTAGTGAATATTAAATTACTGAAAGAGCTGCAGTTTATTTTGTATTTTGTTTACCATAAAAGTAATTAGTGATCTGAATACTTCTTACATGAAGTAATTAGTAATGCAATCAAATTACAATTTTCCATTAGTAATCAGTAACTTGTAATCTATTACTTTAAGTAATTTATCCACCCTCAAGTGGTTCCAAAGCTTTATAGGTTTCTTTATTTTGTTGAACACAAAAGGAGATATTTTGAAAAAATTGTTAGAAACCTGTAACCATTGACTTCTACAGTGTGAAAAACAAATACTATGCAATTCAGTGGCTACAGGTTTCCAGTTTTTTTCTACAAGTCTTCCTTTGTGTTCAACAGAAAAAAAGAAACTGAATCAATTTTGGAGCAAGTAAAGGGTGAGTAAATGTTGGGTGAACTAACTCCCTCATGGTTTCCGCTAGATTCATTCTTCCATGGCGGGATGCCACACCAAAATTCATCCCGACACGGCTACATTACAGCTTCTCATTTAAAACATTCAGTCGTTTTTTTTACATAGTGGGTTATAATTGCAACAAAATGTAATTAAAAGGTAAGTAAATTATAACAGTGCAAATCTTTCTGTAATCATAGTGGTGTTATGCGTTATTTATTTAACCCTTTAAGGTGACGTGCTGACTGACTGAATGACAGGTGTGTAATGCATGAGGCTAGCAAAACACGACATAGTTTTCAGTTATGAATCAGTTTCCATAATTATACTTAATAGATAAAGGTCTATCACTCTGCATACAATGACTTAATCTTGCTGGAGTTTATAGCCGTTTCACTTTACTTCAGGATGCATTAATACCGATCTGTAGGTCTATTGGAGACATTTATGAATATACCAAGCAAATCTAATAAATATGGGAGGAATACTTGTTACATAAACGTACTAAATCGCCCTTCAGCAGAGTTTATTTGAGAGCGCACAAGAAGATCTGCACTTAAGCAGCGTATATTTGAGTATTTGAGGGTGTGCAAGAAGTTTTGTGCACGAACAGAGGAAATCGGCGCTTAACCACAAAGATTTACATGCTTGTTTTCCATGAATGTGATCTCGACTTGTAATACTGCGCTCATGACATTTGTCATTTGAAATAATGCCACAGGTAGTTGGTAGATCTATGTAAAAGGCCTAACAGAGTCTGCCGCCACAGCTGGAAAAAATCCTAGAGGAAACACTGCCCTTTAATCCATACCAATCCTATTGAAGAAACAAACAAACAAACAAAATGTTCATGGTGGTAATTGTTCTAAATATCATGGCCATTTACCATAATCACTCCTTTCCCTGCAGGTTTTTTGTTCTTCAGCAGCAAAGGTCTTGACAGTCTGCTACTGGAAACAATCTACATACAAATGAAAAGACCACATCAGATTTAAGCCACGGAAGGTATAAACACACATAAAAGCAGCTGTTTTGGGTCTTACCTGACCCAACGAACACTCCAACTCGCCCAGGAAGTCGTCATCACTTAAATCAATGGTTTTATTGTCAATATCATAAACGGCAAATCGGAGCTTCTGAACGATCTCAAAGTGGTAATCGACCACAAACTTCTTGGCGAATTTTGGGTTCAGGCAGTTTTTGACTCTCTCTGTGCGGTCGACCTGTGAAGAAACACAGAATCAGATTGTTAAAGGGATAGTTTGCCCAAAAAAAAAAAAAACTGGCTCACTATTTACTCTCCATAAAATGGTTATAAGCCTTTATGAGTTTCTTTCTTCTGTTGAACACAAAAGAAGAACATTTGAAGAAACTGGAAAACCTGTAACCATTGACTTCAATTGTAGAAAAAACAAATACTATGGCAGTCAATGGTTACAGGTTTCCAGGTATCTTTAACTCACAGAAAAAAAAGAAACTCAAAGGTTTGGAACAAGTAAAGTAAATGAACACTTAAACAATTTGCACAACAAACAAAAAGTCAGCTGACCTCAAACCACTGGTTTCCAGATGTGTTCATGAGCAGGACACACAGCGGGTCTGACTTGGAGCCCACATCCATGTCTAGCAGGTTTTCACAGGAGACTGTCAGCTCCACCTTGGACACACATGCTGTAGCCATTGAGCTGATCTGTTCATATGGAAACATTAGATGGAAAACGGATGAATGTGCCATGGGAACTGAAAGCATTTGTGATAACAGGTTTTATGAGCCACAATGGGTCATATTAGGAAAATCCAGTGGTGTTTGTGTTTCCATTTATGCTGGATAAGATTTCATGCTGTGTGCTCTATAACCACTTTATTAGCATGCCAGAAAGAAGTATGAAAATGTATTTAATTTCTTATTATTAGCTAACACCTAGACATGCAGTGGTTAAATGGATAGTTCATCCATAAGTGAAAAATCTGTCATCATTTACTCAGCTTCACTTGACCCAAATCAAGTTTCTTTCTTCTGTTGAACACTAATGAAGACATTTAAAAAAATGTTGGAAACCTATATCCATTGACTTCCATGGTATTTGCTTTTCTGGCTATGGAAGTAACAGGTTTTCAACATTTCTCAAAATATCTTCTTTTGTGTTCAACAGAGCAAAGAACTCATAAAGGTTTGGAAACACTTGATGGTGAGTAAATTTTAATTTTACGTTGAACTATCATTTTAAAAACAAATAGTGTAACAGTATTTTTCTAACGCTAGTTATTTGTTTAATTGGTCTAACTAGTCAGAACACATTCTGATTGCAACCAACCTGTTCTGTAGCAAAAGAGTCAAGCTGTGTATAAAGTTTATTTTAGAATCAATAAAGGATTTATTTACTGTTGCATAGTATGTACTTTTCCGACTATGGATGTAAGTGGTTACATGTTTCCAACATTTCTCAAAATATCTTCTTTTGTGTTTAACAGAGCAAAGAAACCCATAAAGGTTTGGAAACACTTGATGGTGAGTAAACGTTAAACTTTTGTTGAACTATCACTTTAAAAACAAATAGTGTAACAGAATTTTTCTCAGGCTATTATTTGTTTGATTGGTCTAACTAGTCAGAACACATTCTGATTGCATCCAACCGGTTTTGTAGCAAAGTAATATCAATGTATAAAAGGGTTTAAGTTAGAATCAATAAAGGATTAATTTACTGTTGCGAGCTTATTTTTCTTTTAAATATTTTAATATGGAGGCAGCAGGGTGGTGCAGAGGCACAATCGCCTCACAGCAAGAAGGTTGCAGGTTCTAATCTCGGCTGGGTCAGTTGGAATTTCTATGTGGAGTTTGCATGCTCTCCCCGTGTTTGCGTAGGTTTCATCCGGATGCTGCGGTTTCCACCACAAGTCCAAAGACATGAACTGTAGGTGAATTGGGCTAAATTGTCTTTAGTGTACGTGTGTGAATGGAAGTGTATGTTTGCCAGTGATGGGTTGCAGCTGGAGGGGCATCCGCTGCGTAAAACATATGCTGGATAAGTTGGCGATTCTGCTGTGGCGACCCCTGATTAACAAAGAGACTAAGCCGGAAAAAAAAATTAATGAACTATCTTAACCATATTGTTATTTAAAGGGATAGTTCACCCAAATAGGGGGGAAATAAGCTTTGCAGTTTCCCAATCTCTGAAGGAAATTCAAACGGCTAAAATATGCTATATAATAACAATAAAACCAAAGTTACTATTTATTCAGAAGGCTAACCATTTATAATAAAAATGTAATTGTAACAGTATAATGCTCTTTAAATGTGAATTATACAGTGGTATGAGTGATTAAGGCATGTGCAGTGATTGACAGGGATTGTTCTAGTACAGTAGGGTGTGTTTTGAGCAGAATAAGCTGAAGGCTACACTCATTTAAACAGAAACTTTGAGCGAGAGAGGAGGTGTGTGTGAGGAGTCTGCGCGTTTGTGTGGGAGGAACAATGAAGGCTTCTAAATGGAAAACTTGACTTAATATCAGTGCAGTCTACATATGTCAGATCTCACCACGGATCAGAGATTTCTAATAGATGCATACTAAGAGAAATGCAGAAAGAATAGTAATGGAAATAATATACAGAAGTGCTTTACTTAATTACTAGCATTTTCAATATTAGTATTTTAGGAAGTGCAAGGTACTTCCCAAATTACCACGGAGTGGTATGTCATTAAGGAAACAACTTTTCTGAACATCAGCCATGGTTTTACTATAAATAAAATAAAAACTGGTTATTGTAGTTAAAGCATAGTCAATAAAATAATGCTGGTTTTGCTACACTAAACATAGTTTAACCATGGTATTATAAGTAAAACTGTGGTTACAAATACACTTACAAATCATCGATGCCAAAACAAACGGTTATTTATGTTTTTTTTTTACTACACTGGGGTTTCTACAGGTTTCATCAAGTCAAATTAAAGACTTTTTAAGACCATTTGAAGACCATAATGAATGAAATTTCAGACTTACACAAGGCTAAACCCTTAGGATTTTTTAATGGCCAAGCTAAACCCTTAAAAAACACTAAAAACAAATGCAATCAACATATGTCAGATCAAAGATTTCAATTCAATTCAATTCAGCTTATTTGTATATTTGTATAGCGCTTTTACAATGTAGATTGTGTCAAAGCAGCTACACATAAATGGTAATAGTAACTGGAACAGTGTAGTTCAGTTTTTAGTGTTTAAGTTCAGTTCAGTTCAGTTCAGTTTAGCTCAGTTCAGTGTGATTTAATCATTACTGAGAGTTCAAACACTGAAGAGCAAATTCATCGATGCGTAGCTCTACCAATCCTGAACCATGCGAGCCAGTGACAGCGGAGAGGGAAAAAAAACTTCACCTGATGGGAGTGAAGAAAAAAACCTTTCTAACCTTTCTAAGATTTCTAATAGATCCATAATAAGAGAAATGCAGAAAGAATAGTAGTGGAAATAATATACAGAAGTGCTTTCTTATAAACTAAATTATTAGCATTTTGCATAGTAGTATTTTGGGAATTGCAATGTACTTCCCAAATGACCATAGAGTGGTATGTCATTAAGGAAACATAAATTCTGAAAATCAGCCATGGTTTTACTATAAATAAAATAAAAACTGGTTATTGTAGTTAAAGCATAGTCAACAAAAAGATTGCCAGTTTTGCTACACTAAACATAGTTTAACCATGGCATTTTAAGTAAAACTGCGGTTATAACAATTCCCAATGGTCATCCATGCCAAAACAAACAGTTAATTTTTTAACTATACCAGGTTTTCTGCAGGTTTCATTAAGTCAAATTTAGAACTTTTTAAGACCATTTTAAGACATATTTTAAGACCATAATGAATGAAATTTCAGTCTTACACAAGGCTAAACCCTAAATATTTTTTAAAGCCCAAGTTAACATTAAAAACAAATGTTATTACAAGGAAGATAATTAAAACCCTATTAATAGGCAAACAGAGTAAATAAATAAATGTTTCTTAAAACTTTTATTGAAATATATTGTTAGTGATTGGATGAGTGTAGGCGATAGGTAGGGCCGATATAGGATTCTGACAGTATGATAACCTTGTTAAAAAATATCATGGTTTCACAGTATCTCAGTATTGTGACTAGTACTCTAAAATATATTCTTTTTCAATATCTAGGTAAAAAAACAAGAACTTTTATTCCCCCTTTAAACATTAGTAAACATGTCAATACGAATCATTGACTTCTGCTGTCTTCATTTGTTTTTTAAAACAGATTTCTTTACAATTTAAAATGGCATCTTTTGATATATTTTCTGCTGGAGATACTGTTGTCCTAAAAACACACACAAAACACAATTTAAAAAATCTTCACATACCTTAAGAACAGTATAGAAGAAAATTTTGACAGTTTTAAAACTTTGACTTTTCCAAACCGCGGTATACCTTAAAAACTGTTATGGTCCCATGCATGCCTTATGTTGGGTACATAATTAGGTATAGCTTTACATGGAAAATTAAGACCCGTTTAAAATTAAAAGATTTGAAAATGAACAAAATTTAAAATACCTACAACACAATATTTCAGTCAACTTAAGGTCTAAAATTTGTTTTTTGAAATTTAAGCCATTTTAAGACTTTTTAAGATCTCGCAGAGACCCTGTATACTAAAACCATGGTTAAATTCGTAAGTGGTCTTGGCCTAATACTTTTTATGTTATAACAAACTATTAATAACACTGTGCATTTATTGGTATTGTTAACAGTGAGTTATACGAAACATATTTTAATAAACAATGAAATAAAGTAACAGAATACACACACCGATCAAAATAGGGTTTTTCTTAATGATTATTAACATTATATCCAATACTACAAGTCCATACTATAAATATATTTTTGCTTTTGAAAATTGTGAAACATAGGGAGCATATATTGAGGTAACGGTGGTTCTATATTCACACATTCTGGCTTTCTCCTTGTTAATATACATACAGTTTCAGAAATTATAAATAATAAAACCTTAATAGCAGCCAATGACTATCAAAGCACAACATTGTTCACAGTCAAATAAGTAACGTTAGTGCTAATGTTGTTTTGAAATTATGCTTACATGACGTGACTTCAGAACCGCTGAATATTCAAAGTACCATGGTAAACAATATAGGGAGCTTGTCACGAGTTGTCACTGAACAAATGTGCAAATATAAAACCAACTTCATGATAATGGAACAGATTAGATTTGGTCTTCTCCTGATGTTCAGCGTTTAGCATGATGTCATAACCTATTATGCAATACTCGTTAAACGTTAGCTACGTAAATACAGAGTCAACGAACGTTACAGGAACACTACAATGTAGGAACTCAATTTTATGGCTCAAAATGTCTGAATAAGTGAACTAACTTACCTTGGGTTGTTGTTACGCTAGTTAGTAGCTTGCGTCTGAATGCGAAACTGAAGTAAGAGTTTCGACGCTTTCTTGATTATTTCTTTGTCTGTGTCAATATCTTCAATGCTTTGTGGAGGTAGTTATGAAAGTAGATTAAAAATAACAACAGAAAGCATTACTATGTAAAGGCACTCCTCTGTTTTGATTCCTACTTTTCTTCTGGGAGTAGGACCGTTGCGTCGCCTTGCTGGCTGTGTAAAGCGCATGCGCAGTCAATGATTATGACAGACACGACGAGTGGGCGTGTCTACTATACAGAGATTAATGCCTGAGGCAAAACAAGGCAGAAGGTTGTACTGTACATTTGAACTTTCCTGTAACTCCCAAAGAATGTCCTCTTGTTTTCTCTGCAATTAATTCTAATATTGTTTCCTTATTTAGAGGTGGAACTTGGATTCATAAGCCCATAATCAGTCTGGTTAATACAGTGTGTGGTTTGTTTCTCACAGTCTAATAACAAATCTATTCGCTCTCTATTTTTAAACCAAGTTGTTTCCAAACCTAGCGCTATTACCTATTGGAATAATTTTGTAAGAATTCCTAAATGGGAAACTATTTGGTCATTGTCTCACAAATTTTTGGTTACATAAAAAAAAATGTAAACTAATTCATAAATTCCAACCGATTAAACATTTTCTCAGTAAATGTAAAAGGGAAATTGATATAAAATGTTCTTTTTGTTCTTTGCATTTAGAAACTGTACCCCACATCTTTTAGCACTATGGTTATATAGCTTTTGGTATGATGCTTCTGTTTTTATAAAGAAAGAGGTACTTTTTAATTTTAATCTGCATTTTGAAAACGTAATTTTTGGATATTTTAATCATGAAAATTTGAATAACATATAACATATGAATAAGTTCTTGTTATTAACCTATTTATTTTGTTAATTAAGTTTCATATTCATAAGTCTATTTTGTCCAACAAAAAAAACTTGTTTTACTGTGTTTTATAAGAAACTGAAAAATTACTTTTGCACTATTCAGCATAGTGCTAATCGAAAGGCCATTAAAACTGTCCAATTGTGCTCTAGTTTCAATATTTTTGATTAATATAAAGGTCCTGCTTATTTGTATTTGTAAGAATTTTAGCTAATTATTTATATCTTGTGTTTATATTTGTTTTATTTTATTTTATTTTTTATTTTTGTATTGTTGTTATTTACTTTCTATCACCCTGGCATTGTTTTGTTTACTATATTGTCATGTATCTGTTGTTTAAAACAAGGCAGAAGGTTTGTCACACGTAACATATCCAGCTCTATCTCTGTATGTGGACAAAAAACACATTACTGAGATTGACAAGCTACTTTTTAACTTCTTATGGAAAAATAAAACTCATCATGTGAAGAAGTCGGTTCTAACAAATGACTATGAAAAGGGTGCATTAAACTTGATTGATTTCTGTACTCTTAATAATAATTTTAATGTAAATTGGTTGAAACATTTCTTTAAAAACCATAACTCTATTTGAAATGTTGTACCTTGTCATATTCTGTCAAAACTGGGTGGGTTGAGCTTTTTCCTAACCTGTAATTACAACATTGATAAAGTTCTGATAAAAAAAAAAAAGTGTCATCCTTTCACCGCCAGGCCTTCCTTTCACAGTCTCACCTTTTCAAGCATAACCTTTCGCCCAACAAATATTACAGATATGGAACAACAAAGACATACTGTATGAACACAAATCTTTATTTATTGATTACTGGTTTAATAATAACATTATTTTTGTTGATCAATTATTTAACAGGGCTGGTTGTCTTTACTCATATATCGAGTTTTTAGAAGAATACACAATTCCTGTGTCTCCTGGAGATTTTGGCAAAGTCTTTGGAGCAATTTCTTCTGGTGGCTGCATGTTATTTAGAGCTCAACCAAGATTGAACACAAAACAACTAAATTTGTTATTATCGCTGACTGACACTTCAGTTGGTAAGATTTGTTTTTCCTGTAACAATGATAAGAACAATAAACTAGATAAATTTGATTCCAATAAATTAGATTCCTATTAAAAGCAGATATTATCACAGTGCCATATGTGGTTAGTGGAATAAATTTGTGCAAAACATTGACTGGAAGAAGGTCTGGCTCTAACCCAACCGATACCTGTTGACCAATAAAATTAGAGAAATATCATTTAAGATAATTCATATTTTTCACCCGACAAACGATCATATTGTCAACAAAAAGATATTGATGTAATGTGCACTTTTGGTTTTGTGAATATTGAAACAGTTGCCCAATTGTTTTGGCACTGCCCCTTTGTCCAAATTTTGTCTGACATTTACAACTTTATTGGAGAAAATATTGAGAAATATTTCAAGTTTTTTTGGAAGGATGTTCTCTTTGGCCTTTGTGACCTCAGCGGAACTAAGACTATGCCTGATGAAACTTTCATTATGAATCTCATCATTCATTTTTCAAAATATTACATTTATAATTGTAAATTTGTGAATTCCAAAACATCTTTTATTGCTTTTAACAATGAGGTCAAGCAATATGTCAACTCAATAAAGCATTCTCTTAATCCAAAAGCTACAAAAACTGTGATTGTTTGTAAACACTTTGATATCTTTTTGTAACTCAGTACTTCCCCTGGCAAAATGTGATGATGTGTGTCTTTGTTTATGTTTTGTTTATGTTAAAACACCTGCACTGTTGGAATTTGAACAATTCGTTTTGTTTATAATGGAGATTTACATTTTTGTAAAATGTGCAACTGTTGAATAAAAAAATAAAAAATAAATAAATAAAAAGATGCAAAGATTGTTAGTTTATGCACCAGATATGCTGTTTTTTATGATACGGTTCATGTATTGAGTCTAGGAGGCAGGAATAATAATAAGAAATTAAAATTAAATTAAGACAGTATCAATAAACAATCAACGTTATTCCAGTGTTGGGGGTAACGCATGAGTTATGTCATAATATTACTTTTCTAAGAAACGAAAAAAGTAACGCATTACTTTTAATAATTAACTAACAATATTTGATTTATTTTTTAAAAAATGTTATGCAAATTACTTTTAGTTAAAAGAATTATCTTATAAAAGCTAAATTAACCCTGTAAACCCTGAAATATAAAAAAGGCAGAAAATTAAAATTTTCTGGGACTGTGATGTTTATTAAACCATCTAGCAAAATCCAAAAAAAAAGTTTTTATTTTTTTCTTCATGATATTTATTTTGTATCACATTTGATACATCAGGCCAAAACTTTTTGCTCAAAACAATGTTCATTTTAATTACAAAAAAATTATTTTGCCCCAAACATTTTGACAACAGAACATTTCAGGCAGTTTTCCTCTTTGAATTGTTACATTAAATATTTTACAGTTACATTTTTATTATTTCACTTTGGGGTAGGCATAGTAGCAGTTTCAGTCCTTGCTCATGCAAAGATTCACTTTACACAGACATTTGTAGTGACTGCTGGAGCAGTGCTTTCATCTCTGCCAGGTTTCTACATGTTGGAAAATGATCCGTCTCCTGCATTCTAACATAAAAAGGCGCACTGCAGCTTGACATTTTATTAGGTGCAATTATTGTAAAAATACCCACAATGCCAATTAGATTAATTAAATCATCCAAATACTGTGTGTTTGAATTGTAGCGGGTATGATATAGAAAAAATGGGACATGATTGTTCAGGAATAAAGCACCTTTTATATGTTGTATCAAATTCGAAACATGAATTTCAACAAAATTATTAACATAAGGAATTGATTATTAAGTAATTATGCATTGTTTCAGTCAAAAAAAAACTTTTTTTAATCAAATTATTAACAATAAAAAAATGTATTCTTATATAACAACTTGAAATTAGCAAATAGTTTCCAGCCAAAAAGCACGTGAGTAATTCAATGAGACCAGCCATTTTGAAAGGATAAAAAAAGCCCTTCCACTGTTTGCACTGTCATGAAAATCCATAAGAAGGCAAAATACAAGTATCAAATTATATTCAACAGTTTTCAAGCCAAAAATGTATCAGGTTGATATTATATGTCTTAGCAACCTGTGTATCAAATATGATACATGCAGCTTTATAGGGTTAAAAAGAACATTGTCACGTTGAATCCCACAGAATGCAGGAACAGACAGAAACCAAGATGGCAGAGCCGTACATTTTTGTGATGGATGTATTCTTATTATTCTGAATGCATCAAAGAAAGGGAAAGGGGCATTGTCTTAATGGACAGTGATTTTACTTCACTAATAGGACAAAAAAAAAAAAAACAAAAGTATCAAACACACTGCTTTACACTTTCATTAATCTGTATATAGCATCTACCTGTATAGCTCAAGGGTCAGGAAGTTCCCAGAAGATCTTATTCTACACTATTATTTATTTAGGTAAATAACATTTTAGGTAAATGAAGGTTTAGGCTATACGGTGCATTCATTTCAGAGCTCCTATATTTAAAAAAAAAGAAGAAGAAAAAAATCCTGCGAGTTCTGAAAGAGATCAAGCCTCAGCCAGTTCAGAAAAAGTAAACTCAAAAGTAACGTAACGCATTACTTATTAAAAGTAACTGTTATGCAACATATTCTCTATTTCTACCTGGAGATACTCACCCTGAGGCCCCTAGAGACTATGCAGCGCCACTGATACGATCCAAGACCAGCGATGAGATGATCCCAAAGTTTCCATAATCCTAGACCAGGCTGTATCCTGAGCAGCTGCTGTGGTGGTCATGGAGGAGTGAAGTGTATGAGACTGATTAGACTGCAGCTCTGCACAAGACGTTTGGCCATGGGAGAAATGGTCGTGCCCGACTGAGCCTGGTTTCTCTCAAGGTTTTTTAATTCTTCACTTTCGCCAATTGGTGAAGTTTTTTACTCGCCGATGTCGCCACTGGCTTGCATGGTTCAGGACCTGTAGAGCTGCGCATCGATGGACTTGCTCTTCAGTGTTTGGACTCTCAGTGATTATCAAACCACAATGAACTGAGCTAAACAGAACTGAACTTAAACACTAAAAACTGAACTGACACTGTTTCGATAATCTTCTATGTGAAGCTGCTTTGACACAATCTACATTGTAAAAGCGCTATACAAATAAAGGTGAATTGAAAAAAAATGACCTTTTTAGGGGAGTAACTCTATTATAATGCAGTATTTTCCAAAGTGGTGGTTGGGACCCCCTGCAGGGTGGTGCAATAGTATCTGGATGCAGTCTTTATGATGCAAGCTGAGATTGCATCACTCAGCGATGCAATCTCAGACACAACGCACTCAATGAAGCAAGTGACTACTCTGTGATGGGTAGGGTTAGGGGTGGGGTTAGGTGAGCGCATTAAAAAGCATTGGCTGCAGCTCAGATTGCACTGCACAAGGTCTGCATCCAGACCCCTCTCGGGTGGTAGGACAATGAGGAGGGGTTGCTTGGTGATTACCAAAAATCTAATTTATTTTATTATACTATTAGAATGACCATATTGTATCCACAACCTACTGAGGAACAAAATAGTAGTTAATAGCAACATTGTTAGCATGTTAATAATAAACAGTACAAAACAACATGCAAATAAAAAGCCATCAGCCTTTCGATTTTTGTTGTTGTTGTTGTGACCCCTGTGGTGATTACGTCATATGAAAGACACAGAAATAGTGTCAAATGCAGCACACTGATTTTATGGCACCAGGTTAAACTTTCTGACACCTTTACAGCACTTATGTACATTAAAAATTAATACAGGCCACATCTGAACATGGAGGATGATCTCCGAGTGGTGTTCTTCAAACTTAATTAATGAATAAACTTGGGCCTATTGGTATGTGTGCACTGTTGTGTGCAAGGATTATATTGCATATCTATAACCACTGGCATTGTATTTTGGGGGTCACAGAAAAGATTGGGAACCCCTTTTGTAATGCAGTACTTTCATAAGTAATTTTACCCCACACTCCCTGTAAGTGATTGGAAATAGAGATAACATTTAAATGTAATTCTGTATACGTCACAGTAATTTATGACTTTGCTGTGAAACGTTTACCTAAATAAATAAATAAACAGTTATTATTAAAGTCTTCATAATAAAGTAACAACGCCAAAATGTCATCAAGTGGAGTCCTAGATCAATTTATTTGAACAAAGGCTATGTAAATATGCGAGACAGTAAACAGATAAATTTGTGCTGATAGTCTCTATGGAGACTCTGAAGGACTGTGTGACTTAAAAAGTATTCACAAGGAAGGTTTCAAGAATATATTGGTTATTGTTTTTAAGAGAATTTGGCACATTTATTTGATTAATATGCCATAAACACAACCAAAAGAACACAAAATACTGTTATTTGTTAATATATACAACCTATCTCTGCAGCCTACATTTAATTCAAGAAATATATGCAGTAACTATACTCATATTAGTTTCGGAGCTGGTGTATTTGTGTACTTAAATATTCAATTACACTTACTTAAAATAGATCTGTCAACTAAGTAATTATTTTGAATATATCATCCAATTGTCATTATGAAATCTTTTTGTTTTTAACTGTATACGCATAGGCAGTGCTGGTATCTGGTTCAGTTTTCCCAAAAGATTTGAACAAAACACGACTAAAATATTCCACTGTTAAATAGAAATCAAATAGCAGCATCCAGTGTGCTACTATGATTTGAACATCCCAGAGAGCACAACTTCTTTAGATTGTCCAGCTCCTCTTTAAGTTTCTGGTTCTGGTCCTCGATCGAGGTGATGCGCGTCTCTAAACCCAGCACATAGTCTCTCTTCCTGCGTCTATACAGTTTGGCTGCCGTCCTGCAAAGAGCACAAGCAACAGGGGCAACACATCACACTGACTTAGGCCTCCAGCGCACACACAATCACACGTCACCATCTTTCGCACACGGGACGACATAACCAAGCAGATGTCAGCTTATCCGATTGTAACGCAATTAGGCTGGACATTGGGTGGGTGAAAAGCATGTTTGCTTTGTAAAGGTCGGACCAGTCTTTAGTTTAGTGTTACTCATTTTTGCAACAGTATATGTCTTTAAGAGCCTTGAGTTCTTCGATGAGCGTCTTGTTTTGTTTTTCAAGCACAGCAACTCGGTTTTCGAGACATTTGACATATTCTTTCTTCTTTCGCCGGCATTCTCGGGCAGCTTCCCTGGAAGCAACAACAGAGAGGCTCGGTGAGCGTCAATACTGTAAATCTTACATTGTGTTTACAGGTCCCAGTTCATGAGAGTTAAAACTGCAGAACATCATCCGGGCAAGCTTGTGAAAGCAAAACTCTGGGTTTTGAATGAGTGCTTGTTTAGTTGAGGTTGAGCTTTTCCACTCTCTCTCAAGCATCATCATGAAAAAAAACAGGTTTTAGCACATGCTTGACACTCTCAAGACTAAACAAGCATGATGAAGGGACGTTTCATCAAACAATGAAGCCCTACTCTGCATGCAAATAAAGAACATTAACATGCGCAGGGATAATTTATGGCAAAATAAATGTTACTGTTAATTTTCTTACCCTAAAGCAGGTCGCACACCAGAAGCGTCGCTCGGCAGTGCGCCGCGCAACGCCACGCATTTTAAAATTCTAAACATAGGTTTCTATCAGGATACACACACTGGCGCCACAAGTCGGCGGCTGTCGGCGGCGCCCGTCCACGGCTCAGGACGCAGTTCATTTTTCAGCCGCGCCACAGAGCGCCATCTGATTAGTTTCATGTTAAATATCATTCGAATGTGCGTGTCTGGTGTGTGATACTTTAAACTGTCATGTGCGCGCCGTGTCGCGGCGCCGAGCAGCGCTTCTGGTGTGCGACCTGCTTTAGGCTATTCAAAAACGTGGGTAACTAATTCCTTCAGCAAAACGTTAAAGATTCTTGTAAAATGTGGCCCTTGGTGATTCATGAAATGCCAGTCAACACCTACTTTCAGTTGCACCAGAAAGCTGACTTAGCTGCCCTGTTGTTTGTTTATGAAGACACCTCGTAAAACTGATTTCAGAGACTTCTGAGACAGCCTAATAATATAATCATCTACAGCAAAATAGAGAGAGTTTTGAGGATAATAACAAGGAAAATATTTGCTTAATAACCTCTCTCTAAAATATACCATAAAAAAATAACATTGGTCACAAATGTACATTTAATAGGTTTAAGACAATATCCACTCATCTTCAATTTGTTTAAAACATAGAGTTATACAATTTAAAGTAGTACATAGACTACATTGGTCCAAAGTGAAACTATAGCTAAATTTAAATCGAATATAGAACCTAATTGTGACCGATGTAACATTGAGCCAGCTGCTCTATCTCATATGTTTTGGACTTGTTCAAAATTAAAGGATTTCTGGCAGATAATATTTACATTTCTCTCGGACGCATTAAATACCTATATAGAACCTGAGGCCATAATTTACATTTTTGGGATCTCACCACTGTCCTTATGTTTTAACAAAAGCAAGATAAATGTGATTGTCTTTGCTACGCTTTTAGCTAGAAGATTACTATTGCTGAAATGGAAGGAAAAACTTCCTCCAACCTTTAAGCAATGGCTTATGGAACTTATACACCACCTGACCTTAGAAAAATACGATATACTGTAGGAGGCCGTACTGATATGTTTTTATGTTTTAAATCACATAAAGAAAATGAACCCCTCAGTCATTTTAGAAGAGTAGAACCTTTCCTTGTTTTTTTTCTATTTTTTTTCCTTTCCTTCCCTTATATATAAGGGTAACATATGTTTTACTTAATATTACTATTTATTTGTATTTCATCTTAATATAATTTATATATTTTTATAGAACCTAAATGTTTATGTGTGCGACAGGTTTTGTTTGTTTGTTGTGTAAAAAAAAGTAAAAGTGAAAAGCTATACATAATGTTTCATATCTAATATGTTCAATAAAAATACTTTTGAATTAAAAAAAAAATTACATACAAAAAGACACCCATGTGGCACTTAGAGATGCCATGTTTTTTTAGTTAAACTGTCTGAAACGAACAGGATTGTGGGAAATTGAAACCAATGAAAGATATATGCTGCCTTTGAAATTCAATCAGATGAAGAGACAGAACAGGTCCGTAGCCAGCCTGGTGAAAGGATTGGTTCTTTTTTTCTTAAAATATGGACCTTTTGCCGTTATTAGCCTCATTTTCTATTTAATTATGAGGTTTAAATACTTTTTAAGCACTATTTTTTTGCTGGAATACTTTGCCAGATGGTCATCAACCACATGTTGTGATGTACCAAAAACCTAAAGATTTAAAAGAAAAGAAATATGAGAATAATACTTATTTTTCAAATACAAAATTATTACATCATACAGTATATCATCAGAAAAAAGGATGCTGCTCAAGTTTTAAATAAAAAAACTAGCTATTGTCATATATTAGGAAAACTCAAACTGGCCAGCACATTCACCTTTCAGTCACGCTGAGGCAACAGCCAAAAGAGGATTCCACTTGGTCTTAAAGCCTTCTTTGATAGCTATTTTCACAATTTATTATGGCATAGCAGTCAAAATATGACAAATGAGCTTGTGTATGGGACAAACTCTGCACCTTTGTCAGTGAGGGGTGGGTCTTTCGAACCACCCTAAAACCGTTGTATCGTTCATAAATATTATATTTTCCTGGATTATGCAGCCTATACATACATTTTCTAAACCATGCGAGTTTATTATATTTAGGCACTAATTTAGTTTTGCCTGTATATGTTTTGTTTACTATCAAAAGTGCCATTGACTTGCATTTTATAAATCACAAAGGACCACTAAATATAAAAAATGATCTTAAATATTAACCTATATCTAAGATTGTCTTAAGGGAGAGAAAATGAACAACAAATTTTAGCTTTTTTTAGCATGCAGAAAGAATGAGCTGTTATAAGAATTACTGTCGATTGTAGAATGAGAAAGGTGTCTGAGCATTACCTGTTCTTCATCAGTCGGAGTTCCCTTTTGCGTGATGCCTCCTCTGCCAGAAGCTGAGGGCTGGGCAGAGAGTCGGGTGAGCTGTCCATGACCTGGGAAAGACCAGATGCAGGAGAGGACATCTGATATCCTGACATACCTCCAGTGGTGGCTGCAAAAAACCCACAAGCACATTCATTTACAGAGGAACAGTTTACTTTGCATTTTTGGCACAGAGAACAAGCTCTTTGTTGCAGAGGGAGTGCTTTGTTGTGGTTATTTTTATGGTTACATTATGCTGGACATTACAGCTATGCTGATTATATTTACAAGTACCTCAGAAAGTATTTGGACCCTAAAGGCATACTAAAATATATGCATTATATATATATATATATATATATATATATATATATATATATATATATATATATATATATATATATATATATATATATATATATATGAATGGTTATGCATGTAAGACAAAATATTACGGTTAGGCCCACACATGATGTTAGGTGTAATTGTTAACAAAGTAACCAGTTACTGTAATTGTATTTCATTTTGTTTGAAAAAAAAATCAAGTAAGGTTCTACTTTTCATTTTCAGGTAATTTAATTAAAGTTACTTATAATGTACTTGGTTATATACTGTACATAAAATCAACAGTTCTGAATAAATGAATTAGGAGAAGCAGAGTAATTAATTGATCAAGTAGATTGAACATGCTTAAGAAACAATGAAATGAGTCAAACATTTATGTCAATATATGGTATGTGTAAAATATTTCCCATCGGCTTAGTCCCTTTATTCATCAGGTGTCGCCACAGTGGAATGAACCGCCAACTTATCTAGCATATGTTTTACACAGCAGATGCAATAAATCAATCAACCACCCAATCAATTAACAAATCAATCAGCCAATCCATCAATCAATCAATCAATCAATCAATCAATCAATCAACAAACCAAGCAATCAACCAATCAATCAACTGACCAATCAATCAATCAATCAATCAATCAATCAATCAATCAATCAATCAATCAATCAATCAATCAATCAATCAACCAGTCAATCATCAAAAAACTAACCAATAACCAACCAATCAATCAACGAACAAACCAATCAATCAATCAATCAATCAATCAATCAATCAATCAATCAATCAATCAATCAATCAATCAGTCAATCAACAAACCAAGCAATCAACCAATCAATCAACTGACCAACCAATCAATCAATCAATCAATCAACCAGTCAATCATCAAAAAACTAACCAATAACCAACCAATCAATCAACGAACAAACCAATCAATCAATCAATCAATCAATCAATCAATCAATCAATCAACAAACCAATCATTAAACCAATCAATCAATCAACAAACCAACCAACCAATCAATCAACAAACATCAATCAATCAATCAAAAAATCCATGAATCAACCAATCAATGAATCAATCAACAAACCAAGCAATCAACCAATAAATCAACCAATCAATCAACTGACCAACCAATCAATTAACCAATCAATCAATCAATCAATCAATCAATCATTCAATCAACCAATCATTCAATCAACAAATCAATCATCCAAAAAACTAACCAATAACCAACCAATCAATCAACGAACAACCAATCAATCATTCATTCAATCAATCAATCAACAAACCAATCATTTAACCAATCAATCAACAAACCAACCAATCAATCAACAAACATCAATCAATCAATCAACAAATCAATCAGCCAACCAATCAACCAATCAACCAACCAATCAATCAACAAACACCAATCAATCAATCAATCAATCAATCAATCAATCAATCAATCAATCAATCCAAATAATCAACCAACCAATCTATCTATCAATAAATAAACACACTGCATAGCTAAGTTAATATTTTACTTAACAAAAACATCAAATTATTTTAGTGAAATTTAGTATAATGAGTTACTCAATCTTTTTTGTTATCATAACACTAATAGTGACCTATTTGTTATGGAAAAAAATGTGATCAAAACTTTGCGACCGAGCCTGGTAAAATCAACACATATCACATATCAGTGTGGTGACATTTAGACGTCATTGTGGTTGACAACTGCAACTGCTAATCTCCAGCAGCAAATGTAATCAGTGTGGTTAATCTGCAATGACGTATTGGCATTTGTCTCAAATTTCAAGCAAGAATGTATCAATACACTTCAACGTTCTTAAAAGCATTAACTAAAATAGTGAATAGATTTAATTAAATTATATAGATTAAATAAGATCGCACTGACACAAAGCTCTGTTTGACTATCACCATGTAAACAAACCTAAAGTTCAACCGAATCAAATGTCTGCAAGGACCATAAGCAGACAATTAATATCCAGTGGAGATTAGCTCTTTCTGAGTCCGGCACGGACGTAGATCATACACAGATCTGCTCATGGAGTGGTTATAAACTGAATTACACACTAATAAAATATTCATCCATGGTTCAACGTGCGACCATCCTGCCATTATGAAAGCTTTAGTGATTCAATTTCCCCCTGTAGCCACAAACTATGAGCTCACGGTCGCAAATTAAAATGAGCGGCAGGTCACATGAGGGACTTGCAGGATCAAAAGTTTTCTCTTAATTGAGACAAATGAAACAGTTTTACAAAGCTTATGATCAGTGCAGAGGATTTCTGTACATGATTCATCTGGTCTCCGTGGAGACCGTGCTCCAGTCTGAGAGATGAATAATCTGCTCGGCCTGAGATCACAACATGACTCTGGAATGACGTCAATGTACATTTCATTTGCCGTTCAGCATTTACATTTTCCTGCTGGTGTACAATTCCAGGAAACAAGATGACGTCGGCTGCACTTTGAGTGGGCAGCGCAGTTCACGCATTTGAGAGAGAGAGAGAGAGAGAGAGAGAGAGAGGTGCTGAAAAAAATAAGCGAACTATAAAGAAAGCCAAAAATTGTGAAAAATGTCATTCTTTCAGCCTGTTGCATGCCGCAGAGATGATTCACTGTGGGAATATAATGGGGAAAAATGATTCCAGAGTCAGGTCTGATGTCTTTTTCCTTCTTCAAAGTTTTGTTTGAGCATGAAATCTCTGACTAACAACACCCAAACAAATCTACCGAAGTATTTCAAACTATTCAAACCAACTTCCCAATGTTAAAGCACAAAACAATCCGCACAAAAACATAGCAGACGTACCTGATTCTGTCTCATCTCCGGTCACAGCCATGTATAGAGAGCTGAAAGTCAGCCTGTATCTCTCTGCTGTCAGAATGCAATGCCGGCCAAACCACAAGCTAAGTGTGCAGTCACTGTCGGGGCCATTGACATCACTATGACATCATTAGCCTCCTGATGTCAGTAACGCAGTGGCTAGCGGAGCCAGCCCTCCCTCTCTCTCTCTCTCCCTCCCTCCCTCCTCCTCCGCCATTCTCATCTCAGACAGTGAGCTGGACTACAAAAGCTTGTTGAAAAGCTTCCTGTGCATAGGACTTTCTATTATGAGTTTAAACATATATGATACATTATATACAGTGTCATTTTGTTATTTAGCTTATATGTTTAGTTATGATGTCTTGATTCATACATGTATTAATCAAGGATGCATCAAATAGATCAAACTTCATTAAAGACTGAGGAATTCCAGTGTTATTAATGTGACATTTGTCAGAAGTAAAAACTCGAAATATGAATTCACAAAGAACATACAGTTGAAGTCAGAACCACTCTTTGAAATTTTTTTTCTTTTTTAAATATTTCCCAAATGATGTTTAACAAAGCAAGGAAATGTTCACAGTATGTCTGACCATATTTTTTCTACTGGAAAAAAAGTCTTATTTGTTTTATTTCGGCAAGAGTAAAAGCAGTTTTTTATTTTTTTACATTCATTTTAAGGTCAAAATTATTAGCCCCTTTAAGCTAATTTTATTTTGATAGTCTACAGAACAAACCAATGTTTTACAATAACTTGCCTAGTTAACACTATTTAACCTAGTTAAGCCTTTAAATGTCACTTTAAGCTGTATAGAAGTGTCTTGAAAAATTTGTAGTCAAATATTATTTACTGTCATCATGGCAAAGATAAAATAAATAAGTTATCAGTAATGAGTTATTAAAACTATTATGTTTGGAAATGTGTTGGAAAAATCTTTTCTACATTAAACAGAAATTGGGGAAAAAATAAACAGGGGGACTAATAATTCTGACTTCAACTATATATGCGGTATATGCAAACATCTGTTTCAAGCCACAGAGTTAAGGGATCATAAAATAATCAATTGTAATTACTGTGTATTACTGTAAACATGATTTATACTTTAAATTAGGGAAATAAAAATATGCGTTATGGATGTGACCAAAAAAGTGTGGCAGTTTACGATATACAACATACTTTGTGGAAATTCTGTGAGTCAAATCGTCCAACCCCAAAAAAATAATACTAATCAAGACTATATATATATATATATATATATATATATATATATATATATATATATATATATATATATATATATATATATATTATGAGGAAAAACCTTCGTTATGGATGTGACATTCCTCCGTTACGGATGTGACAGATGTGAAGTGGCACTTGTGTGACTTTGGTAAATCAAATAAATTGTTTGAAAATGTTGACAGAGACATTTTTGAGTATTTTAACAGTTCTGTAAATTAGAAGTCTACACAAACAGCATATGGGTTTTGCTATTTAGGTGAAAACATTGTTTTTTCATGGCAAGGCTTGGTTTAAAAATGCATTTTAAAAAATAAATGTGGTTGTTTTCAATTTTTTGTTAATGAAAATATTTTTAAAAACTGTATATTCTATTTTAAAATGTATATTACTCTTTTAAAAAAAAGCCTGAACACCAAAAATTTCTTTATATTAATAGAGTACACTGTACCCAATTTTTCTGGATGTTTTAGACTACAGAAGGATTCATGAACTATCATGTGACAACAAAGATTGAAACTGCTGCTAACAACTCAATTTCTATTACAAGAATAAATTACATTTTAAAATATATACACACATATATACATTTACATTTTTGAATTAGTTAAATATAACCTTTAAATAAAGAATTAAATAAAAAAGCATTAAATAAAATCCTTGCTAATTTATATTTAATGAATTTAACTGTCCGCAAAATAATGAAAAGTATGAACAAATATCATTTTTATGATCCAAAAAAAGGAAAAAAGTGTATTACATTTTTTTATATTTTATAATGTAAACCCATATTTAATATATATATGTGTGTGTGTGTGTGTGTGTGTGTGTGTGTTTAATTTTCAGTAGTTAAATTTTCAATAATTTAAGTTCTATGATTAATTTATAGAAAATAGCTTAAAATCATCTTTAATGTATCACTATGTAAAAAAGTCATCTTAAAGTCATGTAGTAAATTAGATTTTTTTGTTGAACCAAAAAATATTCCAAAATATCTGCCTGTGTTGATGTCATTTTGTAATAACTGTAATTTCAAGATGACATCACATTCTGTTTAGAGCCGCTCACGTCTTTAGCCTCAGAATTATGTATTTCTATGGCAACACTATCGAGTCCTAAACATTGTATGTAATACAGCAGCAAGTTGTACATTACAAGATTGTAATTATGAATGCGTTTTACTAGTCTGAATATCCTAATAACGGTATTTATAAAATGCCATGATCTCAGCTAAATGATGATTTAAACCATGACGTCATTACCTTGGCCCTGATTGTTAGAGACGATGTAAGTGCCATTCCTGGAGTGAACAGCAAACTGCGTCACGGGAGACCTAGGCCAGGAAGAGAAGTTTTCATATCTCTGCTGGCAGGGGATGAAGTGGACACTACCGTTCGGGCTCATGGAGACTTTAAAATAATAACAATAAAAACACATAAGGAAATGATTACGCAAATAATTTTGATTTACGACAATAATGTTTATAAAATCATCTACAGTGGCCTCAAACTAATTTAGCATCATTTACTTATCCTGTGTCGCTACAATAGAAGAAATTAAAAGATTTCCTGCTCAACTTCTTTATGGCAGTGAATAGCAACCAGATTTAACTTTAAAAAAAATATTTAGAAGTATCAAAGAATGGTCCACGTATTCAGAGTGATACACAATAGAGTTTGGAAAAAACTAATCAAAACTGTATCCATTTGTGATTCAAAACCTGCCTTTGACCCTTGACCTTGATCAGTTTTGTTCCTGCGACTACATTACCTTAAGTCTTTTTTTTTTTTTTATGATTTATTTAACATTTTTCCATTTTACAAACATATCAAACAACCCTTACATAAATAATAATAGAAAAAAATGTATAAATATAAATACAAATAACATATCGATAAAAAAGTGAATAAATAAATTAAAATAAAAAAGAAGATAATAATAAAATGAAATAAACAATTAATGCGAGGCAGATGTCTACATTTATACAGTAATCTCAAATGTTACATTTCGAGTGATGAAAGATTACAAACTGATGTACTATTGTGATCAAAAGTTGAGGTGATCAGTCTAGATCCAGCTGGAGAGTTTTAACATATAAAGAAAGGGCATCCCAAATATTGGCAAATGTTCTGTTAGGTCTTTGAAGGGAATATCTAATCTTCTCTAGTTTTACAAAATACAAAACATCTTTCAGCCACCGTACATGCGAGGGTGGCTGAGGGTTCTTCCAGTATAATAAAATGACACGCCTAGCAAGCAAAGTAAGAAAGGCCACGAAGTTTAAAAGGTAAGTGGGTAATGCATAATTATCCGGCATCACGCCAAACAGGCCAATAATGGGTGATGGTGTTATATCTATAGAAGTAATGGCTGAAAGAGACTGAAATACTGAGCCCCAAAATGAGGAAAGAGCTGGGCATGTCCAAAACATATGGGTTAAAGTACCTAAACCCAAATGACACCTATCACATTCTGGATCAATAGTTTGGTCGATCCGTGCGAGCCTACATTTCGACCAGTGTACTTTGTGAACCACTTTACACTGAATGAGGCAGTGACGTGCGCATATAGATGAAGAATGAACCCTGTCCAGAACTGCCTCCCATGTATCTTGATCTATTTCAATATTAAGGTCCGCAGACCAGCTGGTGCGGAGACTGTCACCTGGAAAAGACTGTAAATTTGCAAAAATACTGATTAGTTTAGAGATTAGGCCTTTACTGCTTGCTTCGAGACATAAAATATTGTCGATCTTCGATAGTTGAGGGACATTGGGAAAACCAGGGAAATGTTTACGAACATAGTCACGTACTTGTAAATATCTAAAAAAATGATTTCTCGGAATGTTATACAATGCATTCAGTTGGTCAAATGAGGCAAAAACACCTTCGATATAAAGATCTGCTACTGAGAGTATCCCTTGATTCTTCCAAGAGGCATATGCTCCATCCAATATAGATGGAGAAAACAATGGGTTTAGATGTATTGGGGCGGTTAAAGGGGTAGATTGAAAGCCAAAGTTACGTAAAAACTGAATCCAAATTTTAAGACTGTTTTTCACAATTATATTATCAGTGTATTTAAGTGGAGATAGCGTGATGGGAAAGCAGAGGAGAGCTTTTAAGTCCGAAGATCTACATGAGGCGTTCTCAATATTTAACCATGCTGGGGGACCGTCTAGATTTTTTTTATTTTTCCAATATAATAAGGATCGTATGTTCGCAGCCCAATAATAAGACAAAAAATTAGGGAGGGCCATCCCACCCAAGCCCTTAGGTTTCTGTAGAATGTCCTTTCGAATCTTCGGGGTCTTACCATTCCACAAAAATTGAGAGATAGAACTATCTAATGTAGCAAAAAAAGATTTTGGGATAAAAATTGGAATACACTGAAAAAGGTATAAGAATTTAGGGAGTACATTCATCTTTACGCAGCTGATTCTGCCTGCCATTGATAATGGGAGAAGAGACCAGCGGCGAAAATCATGTGTGAGACGACTAAGCAATGGAGAAAAATTTTGGTCGAACAGCTCTTCAAATTTTTTTGTCACCTGTACACCCAAGTATTTGAAGCTGTGTAAAGTGGCCTTAAATGGCAAGGAAGATAAAGGGTATTCAGAGGCAGCATTATTAATAGGCATTGCTTCACTTTTAGTCAGATTTAATTTGTAGCCTGAAATTTTGCCGAATTCTGTTAGCAATGCAAGCACCACTGGGATAGAGCTGGCCGGGTCAGCAATGAACAGCAAAAGGTCGTCTGCATACAAGGATAATTTATGGTCAACTCCCCCCCTAGTGATGCCCAACATTGAACTGCCTCTAAGGGCAATGGCCAAAGGTTCGATAGCCAGAGCGAACAGAAGAGGGGAGAGTGGGCATCCTTGCCTTGTTCCTCTCCCAAGAGGGAAGTATTTTGAGTAGTAATTATTTGTGCGTACGCAGGCTAAAGGGGAAGTATACAAAAGCTTTATCCAAGATATAAAATAATCACCCACTCCAAATTTTTTAAGAGTGTAAAATAAAAAATCCCACTCAACTCTGTCGAAAGCCTTTTCAGCGTCCATGGATATAATTAACTCTGGAGTCTTTTTATGTGGGCTAGTGTAAAGAATATTTAAGAGACGTCTGATGTTGTGAAAAGACTGCCTATTTTTAATGAAACCAGTCTGATCTGGGGAGATTATAGCTGGTAGTAGTGGTTCCAAGCGACATGCTAGTATCTTAGCAAGTACTTTTACATCTGCACACAGTAGAGAAATAGGACGATAATTATTACACTGAAGGGGGTCCTTATCTTTTTTAAGAATTAAGGAGATGGAGGCTTGGCGTAAAGTTTGTGGAAGTATACCAGATTTAAAAGATTCATTAAACATGTTCAGCATAAGAGGTGATAATTTCTCTGAAAATGTTCTAAAAAATTCAGCTGGAAAACCATCAGGACCTGGGCTCTTTCCACTTTGCAAAAGGCTCAGTGTTGTCTTAACTTCATCGAGAGTGATGGGATCATCCAATTTTAAAGCCAAGTCAGGATCTATAAGGGGAATATCAAGATTATGAAAAAAACTATCAAGGTGTGATTCTTCGTTCAGGCTTTCTGAGGTGTACAAGGAGCTGTAGAAATTTCTAAATTGGTTGTTAATGAGAAGTGGGTCAGTTGTGGGTCCAGAAGAAGTTGAAATTTGAGTTATATGGTTTAGAGCAGAGGACTGGCGTAGCTGGTGTGCTAGTAGTTTACTAGGTTTATCGCCAAATTCATAGAAATTATAACGGCTTTTATGAAGAGCTTCAGTGGCCTCATTCGTTGTCAGCAGGTCAAATTCAGTTTTTGCTGTAAGTATTTCTTTAGACAAATCTGGAGTTGGTGAGGTTTCCATTTTGGACTGAAGCTTCGCTAGATATTTAATTAAAGAGGACTTCTGTTCAGATGCCCTTTTTCTCTGCTGTGCTGAATAAGATATGATTTCTCCCCTCAGAAAGGCTTTACAAGCTTCCCATAAAATACTAGCTGAAATGCTAGGGGTGACATTTGTAGAAATAAAAAGGTCAATCCGATCGTTGATAATTTGCACAAAATCTGGGTCATTAAGTAATAGAGTATTTAGGCGCCAGAAAGACCTAGGAGTTGTCCCACAAGGAAATGATAGATCCAATGTAAGCACAGCATGATCAGATATCACAATAGGACTATAGGAGCAATTCTTGATACATGGAATTAATTTATTATCAAGGAGAAAATAATCAATCCGAGAAAAGCTTTGGTGGACAGGTGAAAAAAAAGAAAACTGTTTTGCGTTAGGGTTTAGAAAACGCCAGGCATCAGAAACTGCATATTGTTCCATAAACGATTCAATAGTTTTTGCTGATTTTGAAATAGCTCTGGGTTTTGATGAAGAACAATCTAGAGTAGGATTCAGGCAGCAGTTAAGATCTCCTCCTAAAATAAGTTGGCTAGTGTTTAAATCAGGAAGGGAAAATAAAAGATTCTTGAAAAAAACTTCATTGTCCCAATTTGGTCCATATATATTTGCTAATACCAGATGAATACCATTAATGTGGCCAGTAATAATGATAAAACGTCCATTTGGATCAGAAATTACTTTAGATACAGAAAATGGAATTAATCTATGTATAAGTATAGCCACTCCTCGTGACTTACTGGAAAACGAGGAATGATACAGCTGACCTACCCAGTCCTTTTTAATTTTTAAGTGATCAGCACTTGTAAGATGAGTTTCTTGGATAAAAGCTATTTTAGTGTTTAACTGCTTCAAGTGGTTGAGAACTTTGTTACGTTTTATAGGTGAGTTAAGCCCTTTGACATTCCAGCTGGAGAATGTAAGTACACCAGTAGGTGTCCCACTGAACACAGGAGACATTAAAAACTAGTTGTCACAAATTTTCTCTGGTCCCCGCAAAAAAAAAAAAAAAAAAAAAAAAAAAAAAAACATAAGAAGAAAAAGAACAGAAAAGGGAAAGAGAAAAAAAAAAAAAAAAGAAACACACAACTACAAACACCAACCCGCCCCCACCCTCCTAACCCACACACGCAACTCCAACAAGTGATGTAGGCAAGAACATCTACATCAAACATATCTCCAACCAACACTGTTGCAAGCTTCCTTCTTCCTTTATACAATCCCTCCCCATATTTTACCACACAACCTCATAGTTGTATTTGTACCACTACTACATACAACCGTATGAATAACTGACTTAAAAATAGATTAATTAAACATATTTTGAACTATGACGTAATCGTATGTTGGTATCAAACATTGTATACAGTTTAACAAGTCTTTATCCCCGAACACGATGATATATCATCGTCCATGAAAAATATTAAAGGTGAAAAGAACGAGTCACCATTTTCATCAAAAAGCAATAATAGAATTGTCAAAAAAAGAGAAAAATAAAAAAAAATTCACATTGCATCTCGACGAACAAACTTCTGTGAGAGTACATCGAATAACGTTAGTCACCCAGTAGTAACTCCTTGAAGTGGCATGAGTGTTACGGAAAAAAGGGGAAAAAAAAGCGCCAAGCTGTTTATGACAAGAGATGGGTTTATGTCACGTCATGTCATCGTCCAAAGCATAGAGGTGAACTACTATACGTCTAAGTTCCGAATGTAGTTGTTGGCTTCGTTAGCTGTCAGCAGCCATAGTTTCTCACCGTTCGGTAGAGTGATGCGTAGTTTAGCTGGAAAGAGAAGAGCAGGTCTGAGTCCGCGCTTGTATAGCTCCGCCATGGCATCTTTGAATTCACTGCGCAGCTTTAGGACATCTGGGCTGTAATCTTCAAATATCCGAATCTTGTGATTACGAAAGGTCAAAATTCCTTTTTTACGGGACTCACGAACCACCAAATCCTTCACCTGGTAACGGTGAAACCGCAAAACCACAGGGCGCGGTCTCTGACCTGGGGCAGGTTTGGGAGCGGGAATTCGGTGCGCTCTGTCCAGTTCAGGCGGTGACGCCAAAATCTGATCGCCAAATACCTCAGCAAGCATTTCGGAGAAAAAGTTAGTTGGTCGCGGTCCCTCGATTGACTCGGGGAGCCCCACGATGCGAATATTCTGCCGCCGGCTGCGCCCCTCTAGGTCTGACATTTTAGACCGCAGCCACTCATTTTCTTTAGTGAGGCCGGCGCACGCGGTCTCCAGGTGTTCAAGGTGCTGGGTCACCTCCGCGAGTCCCGATTCAAGGCAACTGATGCGCTGGTCGTGAGCCGCGACTGTGGAGTTAATATTCTCCAACTTACTGTCCAAGCTTTCAAAAGAGGCTTTAAAATCCGCGGCCAGAGAGGCTCTGAGCTCCTCGTGCAGGGCGCTAATTTCGGCTAGCGTGACACCAGAGCTAGGCGAGGACGGCGCTTCACGATCTTTTTCCACCTGTTTGCCCTTTCCTTTCGACATGTTAAGTGAAAATTTAATACTACGTACTCTAAGAGAGAAAAGTAAATAAATGTAGGTTGCCAAAAAGTTCTAAACCAACGAGGTTTGTAAAGAAGAAATAAAAAGTTAAAGGGAGCTGATCGCACTCACGTCTATACCAAAGGCGACATAACCGGAAGTCTACATTACCTTAAGTCTTGCCACCTATCCAAGTTTTAGGAACAACAAATAATAAAGTCTTCTAGTGAATCATTTGGTATCAGAAGTGGCTTATATGAAAGGCAAAGGCCTCAAGATTATGCTTGTTTTACCAAAATAAAACCTGATCATGCCTTGATTTTTAATTATTTATTTAGGACAGTAAGGTCTGACAGAAGTAATGTACAGTATAGAATATAAAGCCATGGTGCAGTGGAAAAAGAGTTAATATTGTGTCTGACTCCTATGAGCTTTGAGGACTGCATCCATACATCTCTGCAATGACTCAAATAAATTATTAATAAAGTCATCTGGAATGGCAAAGAAAGCGTTCTTGCAGGACTCTCAGAGTTCATCAAGATTATTTGGATTCATCTTCAATGCCTCCTCCATTAACTTACCCCAGACATGCTCAATAATGGTCATGTCTGGTGACTGGGCTGGCCAATAATGGGGCACCTTGACCTTCTTAGCTTTTAGGAACTTTGATGTGGAGGCTGAAGAAAGAGAAGGAGCCCTATCCTTCTGAAGAATTTGCCCTCATGTGGTTTGTAACATAATGGGCAGCACAAATGTCTTGATACCTCAGGCTGTTGATGTTGTCATCCACTCTGCAGATCTCTCGCACTCCCCCATACTGAATGTAACCCCAAACCATGATTTTTCCTTCACCAAACTTGACTGATATCGGAGAGAATCTTGGCTTCATGCGGGTTCTAATAGGTCTTCTGCAGTATTTGTGATGATTGGGATGCAGTTCAACAGATGATTCATCTGAAAAATCTACCTCCTGCCACTTTTCCAAATAATGAACTAGACATCAAGTCATTATTATTTGGTGCTTTTACAACTGGGATCGATGAAAAGACTTTTGTCAGGTAGTGTATATTAGTCATCCAGTTCACAAAAGCTTGACCAGAAAAACATATGTAGTAGTAATTGCAATAAAAGTTAAAAAAAAATCAAAATCAGTATCAAGTTGCAACAGGCAAAAATACATTCTATGGGTCAAACTGGTCACACTTTACAATAAGGTTCATTAGTTAATGTTAAGTAATGCATTTACTAACATGAACAAACATTGAACAATACATTCACTACAGTATATATTCATGTTAATAAACGTTAGTTAATGAAAATACAGTTGTTCATTGTTAGTTCATGTTAACTCATGGTGCATTAACTAATGTTAACAAGCATGGACTTGGATGTTAATAATGCATTAGTAAATGTTCAATTATGATTAATAAATGCTGTACAAGTGTTGTTCATGATCATTTCATGTTAGTAAATGCATTACCTAATAAACCTTATTGTAAAGTGTTACCGTCAAACTTATCCATTTTTCTCTTAAAACGAAAATCATTTGAATATGTAAAGATCATGTTCCATGAAGATATTTAGTAAAAATAAATATTTAATAACTCTATTTTGATTAGTAATGTGCATTGCTAAGATTTCCATTTAGACAAATATTTTTTTTATGTTTGTGAACCCTCAGATTCTAGATTTTCAATTAAATTGGACAACTATTGTCAAATTCTAACAAAGTATACATCAATGGAAAGCCTGTTTATTAATCTCTCAGGTTATAAAATCTCAATTTAAAAAACACAACACTCCTTGTTGTTAATGGTAACATTTGACAACTGTCATTTTGCAACATTATACATATGGTACCTTTTTATATGTGACTTACATATGCTAAAAACTATTTGAGGGCCACTGTACATATGAAACATGTCTTTGAAATTTCTCACTGAAAGGGACTGCGCTGGTATTGCTGAACATATTTCTTGAGGATTCCACGACTTCAGATTTCTGTTGTTCATTTCCAACTTTTAGAAAGTCGCCATTATGTGTATTGGTAGAATCTGGCAGATCCCCAGAATTTTGCTCTTTGACAGTAGCTGATGACGCCTGCGGAAAAATCTGGAGAGTTTTTTTGGGGGGAAAAAAGTTTAAAAATGCTTTGTTAGCTTTTTTGTAAACCAGGGATGGGCAACAACACATTGGAATGGACTTTAAAATAAAATACCAAATACCTCAATTTAAAGTGTTAACAGTAAATAAACTAAAAAATACAGCAGCCACAAGTGCAACAAAATACAATACTCTTCTTTTATAAGCATGAAATTTCTCCGCAAACCTTCTTAATCATCACATTTTCCGTTTCAGGTTTCTGCTCAATTTTTTGTGGTGCGGCATTATTTAGCCGTCTCTGATTTTGTGTTTCTTTCTGGTCTTTCCCGCTGTCAATGGAGCAGACCGGTGGAATGTAAAAGAAAGCTGATCCTAATTGGCCTTCGTGCATGCATTCGAAATGCTGATTGGCTTAGAGAAAGAACCATAGAGCCAAGCCAGGATTCGACTTTGTAGGAAAAAACTTTTTTGTTTTTTAAAAAATAAAGTTTTTAACATAAACAACCTAGAAAAAAATATCACACAATGTAAATAAGTTGTCATTTAATAAGAATATGTGACTAACTCAATTTGGACAAAAATGTCAGATAGAACCTTATAATTCTAAGGTGATGATATGAAAAATTGCAGTTTTTGCTGCCATAAAACCTAAGTTGGAAATTTTCGACCAGTCTGTGGAGTATTACTCAATATTTTTGTCTCAAACTGATAAACTATGTCAAAGTTTGTAATTAACTCTAAACAGCACCTGCAGATCATCAATTGTCATTTGAAACAGCTAATGAAGTATTGGAGGTATTGCCACTAAAGGACTTTTTTTTATGTTGTTGGTCTTGTTATTTTCCTGTCTTTTTTTTGACCTGCTCCTTAATCTACCCTTTCTATCTGTCTCCTACCATTTTTTATATGTGATGCATAATTTCCATCCATATTCCAAGCATTGATCAACTTCTTCAGCATTGTTTTCGTCTTATCTCAAGTCTTGGCAAATAACTGAGAAAGCACCAATGTGGACTTCTTACAAAGTATTTTGCAGTATTTCAAAAAAAAAAAAACACTAGACACTAAAGTATTTTGATACAAAATATTAAGCCACTTTAATAAACCCTATCAAATACAAATGACAAAATACTTTTTTGTGTTTAAAATATATATGTAATACATATCATAACCTACTGCCCATCCCTGTTGTAAACAATTTCTTAATTAGAATGATAATCTCATGATCAACTCTTATATAAGTCTGCGAGGAGATCATGTAACTTTATACATTTTCCACATCGCACAAGGTCAATCCTACGCTTTTTTCACCTGCCACCTACATGTGTGACCAGATAACACATGCCTGATTCAACACTTCTTACTCACCCATCACCATATAACTGTGGACAGTTTGAGAGACTAAATGATTGCCGATCGAGTTAAATAGGGATTAATTCCTATGACTTGGGGCAATATTTGTTTTTAACACCCCAGCATTAATGCATGTTACCGTTTTTACTTACCTGTGCACAGTCTGCAGATTGTGTGAATGGTGAATCACCTGCATCCATAGCTCTTTATAGAAAATATGTAAAGCAAATAATAAACATATATAACGTTAGGTATACATAGACTACTAGAGAGAGAGAACAATTAAGCATTTAGAAAACTGATTTTGTCAAGATTCATTGAGTTGATCATCAGTTTTTGAAAACATTTAAAGACAACAAAGTGAACTGATCCTTAATTTAACGTTATAAGTTACATTAGATTGACATAAGAAACTTGGTAACCTTTTAGTTTTGACCAACTTTAAACAACGTAACGTCAGTATGCCACGCTAAATCGAGTTATTCGTTAGGTTTTGTAAGCAATGTCACAAAATAGACTATTTGTGAAATACTGGAATCAAACATAATTATTTTGAACAATTTTCTTACCTTTTTTTTTAAGAGAAAGTGGTATAAAATAAACGTGACTGACCACAGTCGTCGAGCAAACACTGAGGAAAACTGTTGGATTTGTAACGGTCAGTTTAGTTGCGACGTTATTTCAAAGTAAATAGATTCGCGCTAATTATGAATACCATAAGTGTTTCAGATTTAGTTTAGGCAGTTAAGCCAGATGTCAAAAAAAACTGAATCCGTCAGAGGAAATCTAGCTGAAATCGATGAGTTATAATAAAATCAATTCAGTCTGTAAATTTGTAATTGTACATATTTGCTAGAGGGACCGCCAAATAAATTTGGATTAATGGCGACATCCAGTGACCAAAATTGGAATAAAGGGATCCAAAATGGATTTTATTGAACATTTCTGTCATTATTTACTCAATTTTAAACCAAGTTCAAATTAGTTTTTATCTTTTTTTGAATACTGGAAAGCTGCAACCGTTGACTTCCATAGTAGTTGTTTTTCCTACTATGGAAGTCAATGCTTACATGTTTTCAGCATTCTTCAAAAAATCTTCTTTTACGTTTAGTTTTTTTTTTTTGATTGTTTTCAAAGTTTAGAATCAGCTTGAGGGTAAGTAGTAAATGTTCATTTTGCAGGGTTCACACACATTTTTACAACTAAAAATCCATAGTAAGACTTCCAAGCAAATTTTCATGAGCTATAACGTTTCATGGAATGTCTAAGTGTTAGATAAGAAAAACAATGGATTCATATCTATTACAGTACAAAACACACAACAATTTATTCATTTATTTTTTCAACTTTTTATATCTACCTAAATTTAATTTAGATCAGGTTTTCTGCAAGTTTCATAAAGTCAAATTTAAGACTTTTTAAGACCATAATTCATATTAATATTTTATTTATAACATGCTTTTCTAAAAACCCAAAGCGCTTACAAGAAAGTAAAAACACCAAAGCACAGTAAACAATAAAAAATACAATAAAAAACACAGTAAGAATAAAATATATCACAATTAAAAAACAGACCTAAAAAGACGAGTTAACTAAATGTAAAGCTAATATGGGAATAAACACTATATTTTTTTTTTCTTATGGAAATTTTTTTTACTATCTTCATCAAATAAATTCTAATTACTTTATTTCTTAGCCGCATAATTAAATAATGTATCAAAACAAGCAAACTCTGGTTTCATAGATTATACTTTTTTTTAAACTTAACATTATACAGTATTTGATAACATCCTTACCACTGACTCAATTCAAAGTTTTATTCATATCTAAGTTATTTGCTTCATTTATTGACTGTTATGTGTGCTATTTGTGAGTGTAAAAAAAAATATTAAAATTAAAAATATACTTTTTTTTTTCTCTCTTATGCATGTACTCTGACTTGTCTACCCAGTTACCTTTACATACACACACTCAAACACACACACACACACACACACACCTGCCAGTACCTGACTCTATTTTTTTTAATCTGTTCTTTGTTGTTTTGTTTTCTTTGTATGTGATCCCAATTGATGTACCTCTTGCATACTTCAATAAAAATAATAATAACAAAATTCTGATAATAATAGAAAAACAAATCACATTTAACAACATAACACTTCAAGTAAAACACCCAAACTCCTAATTTATTACTGTATTTATTTTTTGGTCTTTCTTGAAAATACAAAACAAAAAACACATTAAACGTTACAAAACATTCTTTAACCGAAGTGACGTAGGCAATGTATAAAGTAAAAAGACGATGAAAATCAGTTACGGTGTCATTTTGAGGTAACAAGCGATGTTTTGGGTCAATAATAACAACTAAATATTTCAAATTCCCCTCCTCAAACGGTAACCAGTAGTGTTATCAAATCAACTTAATTGACTTTTCCTCTTTTTTGTAAGCAACCACATTAACGATTCATCAATTAAAATGTCGCAGCCCAACGCAATTCCAATATTAATCCTTCTAGAAGACTTTTAAAAGTTAAGAAAACCAAACCAGAGGTACACGAATGAGTTATAGCATGCTCTCAGCACCAATACAGCTCAATCAACCAATTTATGTACACACACACAGGCAATTAGTGCAACAATTAACTGCAGCGAGAGCATGTAGAGTGATGAAACTTATCAACTAAAAACAGGCATATGAAGCGGAGGCACAAACCCTAAAAGTTCGTCTCTCCAACAGGATAAATCCGTAACAAACACGCCATCACCGCCAAGAAGACGAACCATGCCTGTAGCTACAAATACCCTAATTAAAACCAGGTAAAATAACCCTCAAAAATGCTAACGTTATTAATATTTTGTATGAAATAACAATTAAGACATTGCATTTAATATACAGTTGTTTTTCCCCCGTCCCGATTATTTTTGCTTCAGATAGCTGCTGATGGTTTTGCATCTGTCGTAGCTGGTAGCTGTTGGTTTATTATTATTATTATAATTACTTAATCCTTTTTTTTTGTTGTTGTTTTGTCTAAATATGTACATGCATTCCAATAAAACTAATTCCAACTCTCTTCCGGTTTCACCAATTAAAGAGTTAGCTAAAAAACAAACTGCAAGACAGTCCACACAACACAATTCAGCATGAAGAGCTTTGTCTGGTCTTCGGCCGTGAGATATGTCGTAGAATGAAGTGAAGGATGGGAAGTAGTAATGGAGTCGGACTGGGAAGATACTCTTTCCTTTTCGTCTGCCATCTGGAGTCGGATTCACATTATGGTTGGAAGGAAGAGCAACTGGCTGATAACACTTGTAGCGTCAGCTCCAATCGTAAAAATACTGGACAGTGAGAATGCATATCTACCATCTTTTTGACCTGAAGGTGGTGACAACAACAAAAAAAGACAATTATTTCACACAGGGAAAATAAAAATACTCTGGGAGTATACGAGTTTAAAGGTGTTTTCAGCATTCAAACAAAAAGATGTTTGCCGTTTGTTCGATATTAAATAACGAAAATATATATAAAAATGTTCGTTATTTAAAAGAGCTGAATGACAAATCTTGAGTTTTTGTGGGGCAACTTAATTCTTCAACTTAATTGTTTTATCTTCAGTCAACTTAAATTTGGAAAAACAAACTATTTAACTTAATTCCATCATGTTGTCCCAACACGAACCCAGCATTTTTTACATTGAAGCATAAAAAGTTTTAGGAGCAAAAAAATTAACTTATCAATCTATACTATGATTTACAGATGTCACCCAGTAAAAGTACAAATTTACTGTCATTTTTAATCTTTTTAGTTCGACACACTTTTAAATAACCAAATTTTAAGCAATTTTTCAATAAAACGTTTAAAAACAACATTAAATATGTGTGTGGCTTCATTTTTACATAAATCTGTCTGTTACATTGAATCATGGTCAAACATTTTTACCCCTATTTTGACATTTTATGATAACAAAAGCATATTGAAACATTAAAATAGACATTTTACAATATTATTACTACTAATTTTTGCAAATTCTATCTAAAAAAAATTAGCCAAATTTTTTTCTCTTTAAAATTTTCAAGTAAAAAAAATATTAGAGAGAGTAAATATACTGATTATTATTATTTATTATTACTGTTTTATCCATAAATGTTGACTGTTAAATGTTGTTTATTCAGATTTATTTGTTTTATTGGATTTTTTAATTGAATTATTATTGTTATAGTTTCTTCTTCATCTACTACTACTGCTGCTGTAGCTGTGTCTCATTTCCGAGGCTGCTTCCTCCGAAGGATGCAGACTTCAAAGGTGAGTCCTTCGAAGTCCACACAAGCTGAACCAACCGTCTTAAAACAAGACGATCTCGCCTATAGAGGACAGATCTTGTCACCAGGCAATCGTAACAGCTGCTATTAATAAGTGGTAATTACATTTGTAATGACTTTTTTTTTTTTACAGTATTTCCTTTGATCCAAACATGTACACAAACATGTAAACTGTTTATACAATCACTCTTTAGTAAGACATGTCATACTCTTTGTTTTTAAACATGTTGAAATATCCAAGTAAAATAAACCTAATTCATACATTTAATCCGGATTTTTCTTTTAAAAACGTCCTGCCGTTAAAAGCGCGCAATGAATCTTGGGACGTTTGAGGCCACGAAAGAATCCACTGGTTGTGTCCTTTATTACCTGGGAAACGAAGATTGCATTTTTAGGCTGCGTTTAAAGGAGCCTTCAATTTTTTTTTAAATGAGACAGCCTTTGTCGCGCCGCAATGACGCAGTGCATTATGAACGCATTTCGAGACAGCCTCTGAAATGAGACACAGCTACTACTACTACTACTGCTTACTGTTTTGTTTTTTTTTTAATACGGAGGCATGTTCTTTTTTATGTAAACTTTATAACTGCTATGGCAATACATTTGTCATGCCAATAAAGCAACTATTGAATTGAATTGAGGGAGAGAGAGCAGGGGAGAGAAAGAGTTTTGAGTTTATTGCCATATCAGCTTCTCTCAGATCAAGTTTAAAACTCTTTACAAATATCACTTTTATACAATTCTAAAAATATCTTAACAATAAAAAGGTCATTAATATCAATACATAATATACAAGATACAATACATATTAATAATAAGATAAAAAACCTTTTAAGGTTTAACTATTGCAAAAAAAGCCTAGCAAAAAGTGTTATGAAGCCTATTAGAACACGCTTAGAAGAACTATTCTATAATTAGAAAGTTATAAAAAAAACATACATATATATATTCCTGTTTTAGTTTTCTTTTATAGGACATGACATAATTCAGAGGTATTGAGTGCCATTTTCCTAAATATCAGATTTTCTGCTTGACCTCAAATGTGGTTTATACAACACTTCAACAAGCATTAAGCTCCTGTTGAATAATATTTTTGAGTCAACTATTCAATGATCAATTCATAAAGAAAGTCACTTGCTTTAATTATTTTCTAAATGACACATTAAACAATTGAGTGAATGATTTAAGAAATCATTCATTATGACTAAGATTTCCTATAATACTTGTGGTTTTCGTGTCACTTTTATATATCAGGTCAATAGTCAAAGCAGCAAATTATATTTTAAAATAAAATTAATAAATCACAAAATTAGGGTTGGGTGATGTGGCAAAAATGCAAACTCGATAATTATTTTCCATATTGAACAGAAAAAATATATATTTCAATATAAGTTGTTAATGTTTTCAGTTTTAAAAAGTAGCATAAAATTGACTAAAGCTGCAAAAATTAGAGGGCCCATTAAATGGCATGACAATTTAGGCCAATACATTTTCAGTGGCCGTACATCTATAATACTAACAGACTTTTAGATTCCTATTGTTGTACATTTCTGCCGTGTGATTGGCTCTTAGGTCAATATAGAGAAAAAAAAGTCTTATCATTGTTATTGACATAAATTTGATCAAGATATGATATAATATCGTTTATGAATTAAAAATTCATAGAACAACAACTACCAGATATTAAAGCTAGATTTCACCCTAAAATAAAAATTTACTCACACTTAAGTGGTATTAAAAATATAATTTCTTTCTTTTGTTAAACACAAAACATCCAGCCATTCACATCCATTGTACAAACACAAAAAAAACAAAACAATGGAAGTCAATGACTGTTTTTTTAACATCCTTTAACATTCAACATTCTTCAGTCAAACACTAAAATGTAACACAGATTTAATGCCATTTTACACATTTAATGTCACTTTCCTTTGTGTTCAACAGAACAAAGACAAGTCAAACAGGTTTAAAACAAGTGATATTGGGTAAATAATGATAACAATTGTCATTTTTGTTTCTTTAAGAGTGTGAAGAGATGTTGGTTTTGTACTCACAGTGTCGTGTTCACCACTGCGGGGGAACATAACTGTAGGTTGGAGTGGCAGGCTGGCGGTAGGTGGGCATTGAGGGATGGGGGGCGACTGGGGTCGGAGAGTGAGTAGTTAATAACGTCCCTGAGAAATAAAAACAAAATACATGCATTTTCACCCTTTTCTTTCCTTTCTAATAAAGTGCAACAGTCAGGTTTGAGAAGTAAAAAGTCATTCACTTTCTTCACAGACAAACTGATCTGATTTGTTTTGCTCTATTATGAGTTTTAAGAACATTAGTCAACTATATGTGTTTCTCAAACCCTATCTGTTCTCCTTGTGTCATATCATTTTAGAAATAATTATGTTTAACAGTAGACTTGATGTTGAAAACCACACTGCACAAGAATGCGTACAGAAAAATCAAAGAGTTGCTAAATCTGGCCAGTTTTTGCTAAACACACTTTTAATATGCTTTAAGACATTTTAAGGCCTAAGATTTAAAATATTTAAGACATTTTAAGACCCTGCGGACACCCTGTATTATTTGTATTATTTACGTAGTCGTAAACACGCTTATTTGTAGAGCAAGTGGATTTACTGCCGTTTGTTATTCCTAGTCATTTGAATGAATCTAGGAATGCAATGATATGGAATTTTTGGCTGATATCGATAACCGATAACTCTTAAGATTTGGAGCCCCAAAACCGATATACTGATTCATTCATTTTCAAATGCTTTTCCGGGGCCGGGTCGCAAGAGCAGCAGTCTTAGGAGAGAACCCCAGACTTCCCTCTCCCCAGACACTTCCTTCAGTTCCTCCGGGGGGATCTTGAGGCGTTCCCAGGCCAGTCGAGAGACATAAGCCCCTTTCAAACATACAGACCTTTCTGGAAAATTACCAGCAATTTTCCCGAAAGGTGTGTATTTGTGAACAGGCCTTTTTTGAAAATACAGGTAAAGTCGTTGCGGAAATTTTCCATATTCTACCGATATCACTGTGTGAAAGGGGCTATAGTCCCTCCAGCTTATCCTGGGTCTTCCCCGAGGTCTCCTCCTGGTGGGACATGTCTGGAACACCTCTTTAGGTAGGTGTCCAGTAGGCATCAGAAACAGATGTCTCAGCCACCTCAGCTGACTTTGATGTGGAGGAGCAGCGGCTCTACTACTAGCCCCTTCCGGGTGACAGAACTCCTCACCCTATCCATAGGGTTGCGCCCTGCCACTCTGAAGGAAACTCATTTCGGCTGCTTCTATCCGAGATGTCCTTTCGGTCATGACCCAAAGCTCATAACCATAGGTGAGAGTAGGAACATAGATTGACTGGTAAATCGAGAGCTTTGCCTTTCGGTTCAGCTTCTTTACCACAACGAACCGATACATCGACCACATTACTGCTGCCGCTGCACCGATCCGCCTGTCAATCTCACATTCCATGTTTCCCTCACTCGTGAACAAAACCCCCAAGGTACTTGAACTCCTCCACCTGTGGTAAAGACTTTACTTTGTTACTTCTTCCTTTGCTGTTATGTTTACACATTTAATATTTTTTTTCCGGGACGATTTAAACCAAAATACACAATGACACTCTATCAAACATATCTACAATGATAAGGAACATGGTTACTTACTGGGTTATTAACGCACAGCATTACCACACAAAGAAAGGATAAACTTTGAAGGAATAAACAATGTGAGGTAAGCTCCGGTATAGTGCAATAGACAAGTCTGAACAAGTTCAAACCACGCATATGCAAGGCAGCCAGTTATGTACGATTACGTAATCTATCGGATTAAAGATATCGGCCTATTTTTGACATGAAACCAATAATGATAACATTAAAAATAGCATTTATCGGCTGATAACAATATGGCCACAGATATTTCGTGCATCCCAAAATGAATCAGAAATCTTAAAACAACTGCAAAAAGAGCTTACTTCTGCACTGGAACTGGCTTGCAACTTCTTTAAATAAAATTATTAATAAATTACACGGCAAAAAAAAAGCCTTTTTTTAAATGGGTGAACACTGTTGCAAGACTTTTCATGGATTATGTCCTGTGACTGACCAGCTGACATCGCCATGGTGGTCCCTCCCACCATTCCCATTGTGACTCCATTGGGGCGCGGCGGTGGAATGGGTGGGGCATACATGGCCGCTGGCATGCCATTAGGCTGCACCACTGTTGTGTGATGAATGACATGAGGCGGTGCTGCGTAGAGGGGCTGTGTGTAGTAAGTGCCTTGCTGCTGAGGGAGAAAAGCATCCAAAATATTACCGAAATACAAGTTTGGTGCTATTTGTGCTCCATAATTTCCAGGTATATGATTTGGCTTACCTGTGCGTATGGGTTCTGCTGAGGGTAAGGACTTCTCACAGGGTAGACGGCAGCTGGGTAGGGGTTGGGTGATGAAGAATAAGGGGGAACGGCACCTGTTGTCGGGGAGCAGGACATTTTGAAAGGAGTCCCTGGAGCATAACCTGTAGGTATAATATATGACACATTAAATAAGGTAATAATCTAATGATGTTGTCTATTTTCTTTTTTGTTTTTAATTTTGATGAACTGTATTTTAAATATTACATGTTTTATATTCAAAAAGCAATGAATGGAAAAAATGCAATTTATTTAACTTACATTTTTTGTTATGAACCAATTTAGAATTTCCCCTCAAATGTAATTTTATTCCCGAGTAATTATTTATACTGTGGAAGTACAGTTTTTTTCTATTTAGTGGTATTATTAATTAAAAAGATAAGGAACTATAGTAATACATGTACAGTGGTCCCTCTCTTTAACGCGGTTCACCTTTCGCAGCCTCACAACATTTTTCATGCAATCTGACATGCTTTTCACAGCGCACTATGTTTTGTGTCCTGATTAGAAAATTGTGCTCTGCATCCTGACTAGCATATTGTATTCTGCGTCCTGATTGGCTGAAGACTACTGTCAATCAATCTTCTCCGTGCTGTGTTTTCTGTACAGTACAGAATGCGTTCTGCTTGCCAAACTGTGCTGTACTGTATGTTTGCAAGTTTTCTCCCCAAAATGTCGACAAAACTTTCTGCACCATCAAAGGTAGCTGTGGTAGCACCCAAAAGACAGAGGACGATGCTAACCATCGCACAAAAATTTGCACTTCTGGACATGCTAAAGAAAGATAGAAGTTACATGGCTGTAGGGCGCCATTACGGAAGAAATAAATAAAGATCAAATGATTTTGGCTTCATTCTATAACACTGGACTTATTTTCCTATGAAGGTTTGAACTTTAAGAGTGTGAAAAGTGTGAAAATGCCTGTCTGAGAAAAGTGTATAAAATGTGTAATTAAGAGTTTTACAGCCTTAAAACTATCTATAATAACTGTAAAAATAAAGCGGACTACTTTGCAGATTACAGCTTATTATTTTAGAACCAGCTTGTCGTTTTTAGAATGTAACTCCAGCGAATAATGAGAGACCACTGTATAGTTCAGGCAAAAACATTTATTTTGATGGGCTAGCATAAAGATGATTTGACAACAACTTAAAAGCCTTTTTAGAAAAATAATACATATCAATTTTATATATTTATTATATTATATATCCAACATTCTATTTGCCATTTAAAATTTAAAGGCCTAGTTTTGATTTTGTCATAAACCAGTGTTTCTCAACCACGTTCCCGGACGACCACCGACACTGCATGTTAGGATGTCTCCTTCGTTTGTCACACTCATTACAGCTGTTTAAGTCTCTCTTAATGAGCTGATGATCTGAAATAGGTGTTTAAATTGAGGAGACCTGGAAAATGTGCAGAACTGGTGGTCCTCCAATAACATGGTTGAGAAACACGTCATAAACCATATGAAACTTATGAAGTCCCCCAAAAATATTCAGTTTATTCTTGTGTAACTAAACCTTAAATTTAGTAGCATAATTAATTAAAAAATGTCCTTTAGATGGCACAATAGTAGTACATTTTGAGCTGTTTCAAGGAGAAATTTTTAATTTTAATGATTTGACAACACAATATTTAAACAGACGTTTAAAAAAATGGAAAATAAAGAAAGATATTTATTTTAATAATCTTTTTGCCATTTAAAATTCAAAATCATTAGTCCAGAATACCAATTTGGTTTACAGTTAGCTAAACACTGACATTTCCACTATAAAGTCAATTCTTTTTTTTCCAATTTTACTCACTGAAAAGCTTTTTGGGGACTAAGGGCACACTCACACTGTACCTTACTATACTAACCAGCACGTTTCCCGGTTCGTTTAAGAAATGTGAGTGCTCTGAATCGGGCTCAGAGCACGATTCAGTTGAGCTTTGGCAAACTTTTGGTATGCTTGTAGAGTGAACGCAAAGTGCGCCTGAGCCCGAAACTGATGACGAGACGTGACTTTTAAGGGACTGTTTCATATGGATTTATTAATCATTCTTACTGTTCAATGAATGCGAACTGTTATACTTTATTAAAGATGCAAATCCCTTGCTGCAAGTCAGCTGCCACCTTCAGCAAACCTCCTAATACATGCAACATGAGGACTTTATGATTATTTATGAGCGTCAAAGGTGGCTGATCTGTTCGGCTAAATATCTGACTGCATGTCACTGCATATCAAACGACTTAAATGATACAACTAAAGAAATGTCCACTGTGCTGAGTGAGAGCGCTTCTCTTCTGTTATACTGAACAGCGCATCATCAATGATGTAAGCATGCTCCGGCTCGGATGCAATGTGAGTGCAGGCAGTCGAGGGAGAGGGGAGACAACAAGTGTGCTTCACCATGGTTCATGGCAACTGTACATAGTGTGAGTACGCCCTAAGAGCCATAACAAAATGTTTTAGGATGTGAAATGAACACCTTAGACTGAGCCACTTCTTTTGACATTTTCAGTTTTCCACAGAGATAACGTCCTGTTTTGAATCTGCTGCTATGCCAAACCAGACTTAAATAAAAGACATACATCTCCACATGCCTTCTAAGACCAGAAAACAGTTAAATAGGCAGACTTTAAGCTTTCTTTACCTGAAGGAAAAGCTGGATTAGCACCAGGATACATGCTGGGGGAGTAAGCTGGAGCTGCTGCTGCATAACCCACAGGAAATCCAGCTATTTAAGAAGCAAAAGAAAATCACAGTAATGAACACAACAGCACTGACAATGTGCTGGAATTTAATTGCATGAGGTGTGAAAACTCCAGTCACTTCCTACTGATTGCATGCAAAGTGAGAGCTCATTCTCTGGTTACCTGGGTATCCTATTCCTTTAGGGTTGGCATACGGAACCCCTGATGAAGCAGGGCTATAAACAGGGTTCATGATGTCTATCTTTCAGCACCTTTACAGGGAAGGACAGTAGAAGAACTTATATTATACTCCTAAACAATAAGCTGACTAAATGGTTGTATTATAGGGCTGCACAACATTGGAAAAATCTAACATTGGGATACTTTGTTATTCTGCGACATAAATACAATTTTACCAGAAGGCTTAAATATCTCTGTTTGGAAAAAAAAATCCTCATTTTAAATTATGATAATTCTGAGAGGCACTGCATCTGCATGAAATCAAATTCAGAATCTACAAGCATATATAAACACAATAAAATATATACATACAATTAAAACAAAGTGAGCGTTTTATCAATAAGTAAATATAGATATCATTTTTCTGAGCATAACAGTATTCAGGTATAGTAACCGAACTATAAAAATAAATCAAATTCAATAAAAATTAAGCATTATTATAGTTACAAATGGTACAATTTCTTAAGCCTAAATGTTTTTAAAATCATAATACGGTCACAGGCCTCAAAAAATCACATCTAAATGATAAACTATAACACAGACTCAACATTGCAAATCCTGAGATGCGACTATAGTGAATGATCACATTGCGATATTGATGCTCAAATTATATATTATCCAGCCCTATTGTATTATGCATCATTTTTCTTTGGAGAAATGTCAGGTTTATGGAATAAAGATGAAATACCTAAAAAACAATAAAAGCATTAAACAGGTTAAATTTTTGTTCATATACTAGAATGTTTCCCGTTTGATAATTTCATATATAATCAAGTTTATTATTTTGTAGATATTCTAATTATTTATTTATTATTTGTGAATTGCCACATTAGCAACTTCTGGCTATTTCGTGGCAAAATGGATATACATAAAATATTACATAATAAAAAATAAATTCTTCAGTTCATTTAGTAGATATTCTAATTAGTACTGGTCAGAATAAGCATGTTGCTTAATTCTAAATAAATATTAACTGATAGAACATGTTTCTAATTAAAGAAAAAGTCTTATGTAAAAAAAAACATATTTTCTCATGTACACAAAGCCTCAGTTGAGATAAAGGTGGTTTTATAGATTCATTCAGTGACAACTTGTGACACGCTCTTTACATTGTTTACCATGGTACTTTGAATATTCAGTCTGAAGTTGCATGTAAACATCACCTGAAAACAACATTAGCACTATTTAATTGACTGTGAACAATATTGTACTTTAATAGTCATTAGCTGCTATTGTGATTTCACTGTTTAGAATTTGCGCAGAATATTTTTTGTGAATTTACATTATTAAGGAGAAAGTCTGAATGTGTGAATATAAAACCAACTTTACCTCAATAAAAACTTAAGCATCTTTACATCTAAAAAAATTGTCAAAAAAATTAAATGTATCCTATATATTAATGCTGTAAAGTAGCAGTAATTTACTAAAGTACTTTATGTACTTCTCAAATAATAATAATAATAATAATAATAATGTGTGTGTATGAAAGACGGGACATTCAGAAGCCAGAAAAAAATATGAATTTTGATTTAACAGAAACAAAATAAGAAACATTTCATAGGGTTTCTCTAAATTCAAACCTTGATTATATACATCGATGAAAACACAACAATAATAAGATTAATAATAAAAAAACAATAATAATCATAGTCGTCATCATCATCAATGTGGCCTAAAAATGATAACGCGTAAAAAAATAATACAGCAAATATTTAAACAACAAAAACACGCATAATTGCCAGTATCGATCAAACATACATACACACATATTGAGTTTCATGACTTGTGTTTAACAGTTATTCATTTGCAAAGTCACACTCTGTCACATTTGCATGTCAATCAAAACCAGTCAAATATATAGATGCCCAACTACATATAAAATGTTATATTCAATACTAGATATGGGAATATAACCAGTTTCAGGGTTTACCGCGATTTGGAAAAGCCAAGGTTTTAAAACCACTATAATTTTCTGTAATTCCGTTCCTACGATATTTGTACGTTTTTTTTTTTTTTTTCCATGTTTTTCTCAACTATTTTGTTTAGTTTATTAAAGGGCAGTAACAGTTTTTCCACATCAAAATCTACTCGTCAGGCTACGATTAACAAACATCTGAAAAACAAACCACTTATAAACAAACACCCAAGTAGGCATGGGACGATAACCGTTTTCAAGGTACACCACAGTTTGGAAAAGGTAAAGTCTTAAAATCCTCAGGTTTTCTGTAATACCATTCCTAAGGTATCTGTAAGATTTTTTATTTATTTATTTATTTGTTTGTTTGTTTTTAAGACAACAGTATCTCCAGCAGCAAAAATATCCAAATATGCAGTTTTAAACTGTAAAAAAAAATCAGTGTTTTTGAAACTAATAAAGACAGTAGAAGTCAATGATTGATTTTAATTATTCAGCCTGACAGGTTTACTGTTAAAAAATACTTTGAATGGTTCTTAAAACAAAATTTATTGTGTTCAATTGAGAAAACAGGTTGTAGTTTTTTACCCAGACATTTAAATAAAATATATTTCAGAGCAGTAATCATGATACCGTGAAACTGTGACATTTTAATCCTGTCAGATCCAAATACCAGCCCAAACCTAAAGTTTACTGTTCCAAAATATTTTAAATGTTTATTAAAACAAATATATCGTGTTCAATGGGGAAAACATGTCGTTTTTTTAACCCAGACATTTGAGTAGAATATATTTTAGTTATAACAATACTGTGAAACTGTGATATTTTAATCCAAGATTATCGCACCGTCAGAATCGTATAGTGGCCCATGACTATCCAATACTAAACTACGATCTATGATTAAAGATGTCGCATATATAAACAGCACCGTGTATGGACGCGTGCTGTTGTCAGATGCAACGTGTTTCTGCTCGCATTGTGCATCCGAGTTACGAGATTCAAAACATTCAGCCGATACATCAGAACTCAAAGCAATAAAAATACAAATGAAAAACAATCTGATGCAGAAAAAGCTAATTCGCATAGCGCTTCGCATCTGCACCCCTGAAACACAAGTGTGGTTTTCAAATAACGTTAGCTGCAGTCCCGATTGTAAACTGACTCGGTCGATTAATATTTTACACGATCAAAGACGCGCTTTTAGCATCGCTGCATTTCAGATGGAGCCTCGATGCTTTAGCACACCATAATAACAGACGTGACATTGTGCACGCAGGATGCAGCTCGGTGTTACAGGCCAACAGCAGCATCTCGCATCCCAGTTTATCCCAATTGACTCCATGTCCCGCTCCCGCATCCATCCTCCCCTTTCCCCCGAACCAAAACCCGCTCGTACGGGCTGCTGAGGCGGTTTGTTTTAGTCGGACAGCGGCTGTGGGTACGTACGGCCTGTGGTGTTTTTAGTAGCGGGCGAATTAATCCAGTATTTCGCTGTTGTCTGGTGATGTTGTCTGTCTTGCGTCGGCTGCAAAAACGCTACGCACAGCAAGCGAGCTCTGGCACTGACTGGTAGAACCGTGCGTCACTTCCGTTTCTGGAGAGAAATGGCGGAAAGACGTATTAGAGGCGCTCGCCGAGGGGTTTTGAATAAAATTCGTGTTTTATTTGCTGATCTGTGGGTTTGTTTTGTGTGTGTGTGGTTGTGTTGCTATTGTTAAATAAAATCACTGTACTTTTAGATAGTGTTGTGGGCTATTCTACATTTTTTTTAGTTTTAATAATTATCAAAAAACTGTTCAAAAGTTAATTTTGTTTAGATTAGTTTTTAATTAATATATGAACATATGAAAACTAATTTTATTTGAACTGAAGTTTACCCACATATTGTATTTATAACAACATATATAACTTTCTACAGCATGGGTCTCCAACTCGATTCCTGGAGGGCCGCAGCTCTGCACAGTTTTGCTCAGTGGCGGATTTAGGCATGTGCAGTGTGGGCGGTCGCGGCAAAAAAAGTGCCCCAGTAAAAGCTTTGAGATAAGATTTACTTTATGCAAGTGTATAGAGCGGTTATCCAAGAATACAGACATTAGAGGCCATTATGATTTGGCATTTTTGCACATACAAGTTTGTTATTCTTTTGTGCAACCAAACAATGCTGATGAGAACAAATTGACGCATGTGCGCATAAGGTCATTCCCGCGTGCCTCACACGCGCTGCTCCTAATTCCGGCTGTTTACGCCGATATGGAATAATGAGTCAGGGAGGTAACTAAGACATCATAACATTAATTCTCGGCCATGAGTCGGGTCTAAGATAACAGAGAATTCTATAAAACATATTTTTTTATATCTTTTGAACTGTCAAAATTAAAGTCTTAGAATATTACCCCAGTTGTGTCATTACATTGCTTTTCAGTTAGATTTAGGATTGATTTATTGTATTTTTTAGAATAATAATTGTATAATTTATAAACAAATACATATTGAAAATAAATACATATATTTAAATGTATTTATAATAATTATTTTAAATGTATATATTGGCGCAGTGGGTAGCATGTTCGCCTCACAGCAGGAAGGTCACTGGCTGAAGCCTCGGCTGGGTCAGTTAGCATTTCTATGTGGAGTTTGCATGTTTTCCCTGTGTTGGTGTTGATTAAATGCACATACCATCACCCGACGGATAGAGGACATATTAAGGCAAAGGCAGATTCTGCTTGACTAGTGTATTCCTTATTGAAATCCACTGTGTTATAAATGTGATTATTTATGTTACTATTGCAATAAGTTATCATTTTAAATGGTATACTAGTTATGATTTAAAGTAATGTTTACTATTTACTTTTAAATCTTATTGAATAATTTAGGAAATTAGCCATGGCAATTTTAATGTAATATCACTTAGTATGTTTACCTTTGGGCTCTCAGTGATATTTGGCTTTTGGCCCTTTATATGAAAAAGTTTCAACAGAGTCTGGCTGCAGACACAATGCAGACCGATGCAAGCTCAGCCTCGCATGCGCATTGATTGAGTATGATGCAATGTCAGCCACACCTACGCACTTGAACCTATGTGTTCGGTAGCGCATGTGCACTTCTGAAAAGTTTGGGCACCCCTACTTTAAAAGATGATGTCATTTATTCTATAATTAATTTTTGCATAGATAATAGCGACACGGTGGCGCAGTGGGTAGCGTGGTCACCACACAGCAAGAAGGTCGCTGGTTCGAGCCGGCTGTGTCAGCTGGCATATAGTGTAGTTTGCGTGTTCTCCCAGTGTTCGCGTGGGTTTCCCCGGGTGCTCTGGTTTCCCCCACAAGTCCAAAGAGATGTGGTATTGAGTAAGCTAAATTGTCCATAGTGCATGTGTGTAAATGAGCGTGGATGTTTCCTAGTAATGGGTTGCAGCTGGAAGGGTATCCGCTGCGTAGAACATATGCTGGATAAGTTGGCGGTTCATTCCACTGTGGCGACCCCAGATTTATAAAGGGACTAAGCCGAAAAGAAAATGAATGAATGAATGAACATAGAAGATACAGTATTTTGAAGAAAGCTGAAAACCTTCCATTTAGGAAAAAAACAATTGGAAGTGGTCGCAGGTCTCCAACATTTTTCAAATTATCTTATTTTATGTTCAACAGGAGAAAAAAAGTTAAACAGGTTTGAATGTCAGTATTTTTTGGGTGAACTACCCCTTTAAAGTGTGTATTCGTATGGGCCGTTTTCTAAAGGGTTAATAAACAGAGCGGGTCCATGATGATGGTGCGATGATGATGTCACGAGTACGGTAGCCGGTAGAGGGACGGATTCTTCCATTCTGTCTCTCTTTTCTGGGATTGTGTGCGCTGTGCGTACACACACACACACCGCCGCTGTTCTCCGGGCCGTCAGTAGGAAACATGGCGGCCGTCAGCAAGTACTTGACAGCGAAGAACTCCGCGGTGGCTGGCGGTGTCCTACTCGTTTTATACATCCTAAAGCAGAGACGAAGAGCCGCAGCACTAAACAGGTATGCAAAAACATCAGACGTACTGTAAAGTGTCCATTTCAAGACTGGTGTTCAGTGTCAGAGTGACCCCAGTTCAACTGAAGCAAATTCTGGTGTTCATTTCAGTGTGTCAAAACCTATTGAACTGCTATGATCTATAAGTGCTGTCTATGAAGGCGGCTTACTAGATTTTGAGATGCTTCCTGCATTGTGAGCTTTATAGTGAAAACAATGTTAAAATTCAAGGGGTTTATTGAACTTTGCAATCTCACTGTCCAACAATGGACTCTTTCATAAAGGACAGTAACATTAGCATTGGTTGGACAATAGTTGCCACCGTTTTAAGCTAGCTTTTTAGGGATTGAAAAAAGTCTAAATTGATCAAATATGGACTTTGAACTGTCCTTTATTTCCGTGCTTCAAGCTTAATTTTTTTGTGTGGAAATGTTTATTGTGCAAAATATGAAATGTTTTGTGTTTCTAACATACTTCATATTAGTTTCTCAACCGCTGTTTGGTTATGATTTCCACTACTTCACTATAATAATGTTATATGACCATTTAGTCCTGACAGCGGGACTATGTTTTTAGGTCATTGTACCTTATTAAACTAAGTCAATCATGTTTTAACTTAATTTTATAGGTTACTCAAGCTATTTTAAGTCAGTTTAAAATAATATAAGTTCAATGGACTCAAAAGGTTAATTTTATTCAGCTCCACCAGGATTTTTTACAGTGTATTCAAACTATTTTGTCTGTTGTTTTATCATTATAGGAAGAAGGGGTCTGCAAATGAATTGAACAGTGAGGTAAGAGACGTTCATTTATCTTTGAATGAACTGATTACAACTCTACAACAATAAACCATAATGATGCAATAAACCATGCTTTATTGAAGATATGTCCACAAGAACAATGTTAGCATATTATAAAAATCAGCATTTAAGAATAACTATTTGTAGAATGAGATCATGCAGAATATGTACTTTAGAAGTAGTAATAAGCAGCCAATATCTCAATAACATGCATGCTATTAAGCAATTATTGTGCTTTGGTCTCTAAAGTGTTAATAAGTTAACAAATGTATTAATTTAGATTGAGTGGGATGATTATGCAGGGAATTGAATGATGCATTATATATATATATATATATATATATATATATATATATATATATATATATATATATATATATATATATATATATATATATATATATATATATATATATATTTGTTAATTACATTTTATGCATCATTCAATTTCCTTACAGAATCATCCCACTCAATCTAAATTAATACATTTGTTAACATGTATACATATGTATACATATTTCTACTTAAATGTTTCATATGACGTGATGTATGTATGTATGTATGTATGTATGTATGTATGTATGTATGTATGTATGTATGTATGTATAAATGTATTTTCTATTGTAAATGTATTAACAAGACACCAAATTTGGACAACCTTTCTTAATATATTGTTTAATAATTTGTACTGTAAATATAATAATAATTTTATATTTCTTGCTTCAAAGAAAATTGACTTAAAATCTGTGATTCAACAGTTAAGTTTAATATGCTTGATGTCCTTAAATGGAAATAGTTTTCTGTACTCTTGTCTCTTTTAATATTTTTATTGCTTATTGCTATTAAAAAGCTGCAATCTTGATGTTTTATTTAAAAATCTAGATGTGTGCAACCATTTCCCTCCTTTTTCTTTGACTTTCATCACTTCTTGTGTCTCAACACCAACAGAAAGATGGCAAGAAAGAAAGGGCCGCTGTGGACAAGTTATTTTTCATCCGGATCTCACGGATCCTCAAGATTATGGTTCCGAAATTCTTCAGCAAAGAGGTGAGAAGGTTGTATGGCTTTGTTGTAATGGTATTGCCATTACAAAGTCATTCTAAAACATTTATTTTGTGTGCAACAGACATGGTATCTGCTCCTGATCGCAGTGATGCTTGTGACTCGGACGTATTGTGATGTCTGGATGATTCAGAACGGCACAATGATTGAAAGGTACATCAAGGATTAAGACATTAAGTTTGTTAGTGATGTGAAATATTAAACTTTTAAAGGAACACTCTGATTTTTTTGGAAATGGGTTAATTTTACTGTCACCTAGAGTTAAACAGTTGAGTTTTAGCATTTTTGAATCCATTCAGCTGATCTCCGAGTCTGGCAGGAGCACCTTTAGCCTAGCTTAGCATAGATCATTGAATCGAATTAGGCAAGATGCTAATGGTCTAATGCAATTCAGTGATCTATGCTTGGCTAAGCTAAAAGTGCTCCCACAAGACCTGATCAAACTCAACTTTTAGCGTCTCGCTTCACTTCATAGATGAACTCTTTTTCTATTTTTATGAGTTAGATGCTAATGGTCTAATCTGATTTAATTATCTATGCTAAGCTAAGCTAACAGTGCTCCCGTCAGATTCGGAGATCAGCTGAACGGACTAAAAAAATGCTGAAACTTAACTTTAAGCATCTAGCTTCACTTCAAAGCGTCACTCTTTTTCTA